TATATTTGCTTTTTGAAGTGAAGTTCATATCTTTAAGATATCAAGATTCAAGTGAGAAAATAATTTCATTATTCTGCAGTATCTGAGTTCACATGTTGATTATCTTCAAAAGATAGTTTCAGGTTAGAAAGAAGCTGAGCTTTCATGATCATCATAGACTCAGAAATCTTGAAGTCATAGTCATTGAGAACTTTGTCAGTTGTATGAGTAAGATTGAGTTTTGACTCTTCAACTACTTTGTGATATTCAATCAGATGTATAACAGCAAATTTGATCATTGACACAGTTTGCAGCTCATTAAGCTTAAAAGAAAATCTTTGATGATTACACAGCAGGATTGAAATAATAGTATCTCATTGATCATTTAAAATAAAGAAAAAAAGAAAAAGGAAAAGAAAGAAGATATTAAGAGAAAAAAAAAATAAAAATAAAAACAAAAATAAAAGCAAAAGTAAAAGTAAAAACAGCAATAGCAACAGAACACAAAGCTACTTCTCAATAATTCTCTTATCAATCTTATGGTCAACAGAATCTGCTGGGCACAAAGGAAAACTCATTGACAACTTCTTATTAAAAAAACAGCTTGTATTATACAAGTTAACATTGTGATCTGCACTGATAACAATCTGGAGACCTTCTTCAACAAATGATTTCAGTGTATAATCATGATAGAACCTGATCAATCAGTTGTTTATTATCAGCATGCTCTGCAACTTCTTCATAATATAGCAATAATTATCATTATCTTCTTACTTATGACACATCATCTCCCGCGATCTTCTAATATAATATTTCACAATGATATAAGACTCTCTGAGAATCTATAATGATATCTGTTAACATCTAAGCTTTCTCTAGAAATATAGTGAACATACAGCACAGCATATTAAATCATGAAAATGACAATTATTGCATGTCTTTCTAACATCAGAAATAATACATTTATATAATGGCTTAAATTCAGCCACACAGAGGCAGCATGCACAGATCTTCTCAGGCTTTGTTACATAGTGAGTGTTATAATGAGCTTTGAGAACAGTGAACTTGAGCTTGTGAATAGATATTGTTGTTTGACTAAACTGTTTAGTTAGAGATTGATTTATACATCATCTATGATTAAGATTTAACTTACTTTCATTCAATTGAAGAACAGGCGGGTGAGTGAAGCAGTAGAGGCAGCAGCAGAGGCAGCAGCAGATGATGTGGCAGGGGGATTTTCACATTGATAAGTAAGTAGGTTGTTGCTGATTGAAAGAAAGATGAAGAAAATGAAGTAAGAAGCTCATATTTATACTTACAATATAAGTAAACAACACATGAGTAAGTTAATAATGTCTAGATAAGTATATTTCTATTCACTTCTATAACTCTATAATTCATGATTGATTCAGAAGTTAGTAGAAGTTATTAGAAATTGCAAGGAGTTTACAGAAGATTTATTATAGAAGATGTCTAACTACTTGATAGTGTCATTTTCTATAGAGAAGTTGTCTCTTTCTCTGTGAGAAGGAGTTTGAACATGATTAAAATGAGATATCTTTGTGAATACAATATCTGTGTTTGCATTCTGTTCATCAAATGATGTTTGTTTGTAAGGGGTTTGAATATCAATACTATTATTATTACTTTGCTGCTTGAATGGAGTGTGAACTTGAGCAGTTATAGATATGTGAACTTGTGAACTTGAAGAAGAATGAACTCAGGGACTTGAAGAAGAAGTGAACTGTGAAGTAGTGAAAGCACTGGCAATAGATATGACTAGAGCAGCAGAGGCTTCAGCAGCAGCAACAGCAGCTGAAAGAGCTGTAGAGATCTCAGTGAAGATCTCATTAAGTTGCTGTGCTCTTTTTGCTGCATGTTGAGCAGTCATTCAGGCCAGATTATTGTCTTTCACATGCCATGCAGCTGTGAGCTGCTGAGCTGCTGTCATTTTGCTGATTGAATCACTACTTGACATTTCAGTAGATACTGCTATCTCTGCTGTTCTCTCCCTGTTTCTGATTGTCTGATGTTGATGTCTTTCTATGAGAATAGCTTCATACACTTTATTTACAGCTGCAATTTGACTTGACAGAAAGCTGTGAAGCTGATCTTCAAATTCATCTCAATAGCTTCAAGTCTGAAGAAGATTGGCAGCATCACATAATTCATTTCAATTGAATTCAAAGATAGATGTCTTCTGATGAAAAAGAGCAGCTATCTGTCACTGATATTGAGTAGATATAAATTGTGAAGCTGGCACTGAAAAGTCTCAATCATGATAATACTGTTTCTCTGCATGTTTGATACATCAGTTCTTAAGTTCTGACAGCAGAATGACACTGTGACTATTGCCTTGAGATGTCTTGATGGTGTTTGTAGTGAGTGACTGTTTGAATACAGATATGTGACTTGGATTGCATCTGCTGCAGCATTTCTTCACAGGAGTGTTCATTCTATTCATGTCAAATGAGAGTCAATTCTTCTCAAGATAGATCAGAAGGGCTTTTCAGTGACATAAGTTATTGATGATTCTCTTTCAGTTGATGAAGAGATTGGCTCATCTTTGCATTTCATTCTCTGTCTATGTCTTCACAGTGATTGTTCTACATTGACTTTGACTCTGACTTATCATATTTAATGCAATACTTTCAGCATCAGATATGTTCTTCAAGTTCATGAACTGTGATAGCTGGCTGATCTGATATTGAGTTCTTTGCTGAGATCTTTGTTTTGCTGATAGTTGAGAAGATTGAACAGCTTTCTTATCATAATCTTCAGAGTCAAATGCTCAGTAGAAAAGAAGAATCAAGACATAGCTTTTTTAACCTGGTCTGTGACTCTCTCACTCACATCATTGTCAAATATCTGTGATATCATCTCTCTTAATAGAAAATCCTCATACAACAGTACACTTGATATCTGAAATATTTATACTCATACTCAGTGAGGTTGTTGTCATCATGATTTGTATTTTTAATGTTGATTTCATGAACTTCTCAAAGTGAATATTCTGATTCACTTCAGACACTTGAGATGTGAAATACTGAATAATGTCATTAATGAAAGAGGTGTCAGTATTGTTGACATTCTGCCTGTTATTCTGACAGATCTGAAGAAGTATTGATTGAAAATATTGCACTGCTTGTTGAACCTTGACATGACTGTTAATAAAGACAATAATCTTTAAAATATGTTAAGATATGATCTTTCCATCTGTATCAATAGCCTTGTTCAATAAAAAATATAACATATCATAGAATATAAGTTTATCACATGAAATTGAATGTATGCTGATAAAGATATCAGAATGATTAATGAAAGTTTGAATAATCTGAGTCTGCTGTGAATTTACATCAATAGAATGAAATTCAGTCTCTTGAAGAATGATATTCTCAGCTTTACTGCTGAGAGTTGCAGAACAGTCAAATCAGATAATATTCTTATAAAGAAGCAATCTCAGATGTCTCAGCCTGATAAACTGACTATAGAATTAACTTCACTGTGTGACAAGATGACACTCATTGATAGCTACAAGCTCAATCTTTTCTTATAAAGTAGAGTCTTGAAGAACATGCTGAAATTGCTTATAAAGAGCTTACTCTGAACTGAGCAGTATATGTGTATACTTACTCTGTTGAATGTGTTTGAGTAAGTCTTCTTGTCTCTGAAGATTATCAGCACTGATCAGACAAGAATTGGCACTGAGAAACTGTGCTATATCTCTTGTTTACTGATCACTAAGCTTGTTTAGAGAAATCAGTTGAATGGTTATCTTTTCTGTCAGAATTGTATAGAATTGAAGAATAAGACTCTTTTCATAGTCAGTTCTGATAATGAATAAAGTATTACTATATTCATATATCATGTGCTGAAGTATACAGACTTGTTCTATGTGTGACTGAAGAGTACACTCAGAATCTGAATGTAAGCCTTGAAGTATTTATTAAAGACAATACTGAATAACATTCTGTTGCTTATCAATACTATCTGATCTGATATAGCTTATAATAAGTTATAACATATCTTCAATATTCATTGAAAGTATTTACTTTAATGATGACTTTTGAAGCTGCTGTTGTAGCTGACTTGCACATTTTCTTCAATTTCTCTTGATCATATTTGATGCAGTTGATGAGATGTTGTCTGACTCAGCTGTTAAAAAGTGACTCAGCTGTCAAAAAGAAGTGTTATATGATTGATTCAGAAGTTGTTGAAAGATTTCAGAAGTTATCAGAAGTTATCACAAGTTAATGTATCATGTGAGATTGTCAAGAGATCAGAAGTTGTCAGAAGTTGTCAGAAGTCACTGAAAAATACACTCAGTGCTTTGACTATAGTCTCTGATGACTGAATAGATGTTTTGATAGCAAGATCAAGGTGTTGAATAACTAGACATGATCATGATTGAAAAATTAGCAAATTGTTCCTGTGTTCAAAATCATAGTAGCAGTTTTCAACACAACACTTCATACTCAGAATATATGTATTTTCAGATAAAAATTACATCAATTAACAGGAAATTGAAAAATTAATTTCTCAAGATGATAGAGAAATGATCTATAAGTGATGTTACACAGTGATTCTATCTCAAATATTATGATTGAAGCAAATTGTTCCTGTGTTACTAATAAACAGGAATCATTTTTTCTCAGACGCTCCGCGAAGAGTTTGCTGGGGATGTCCCATTTAGGTTTAGTGTAAGCCCTGTGACAGTTGATTGGCTCAGATGTTAGCAGGACTTGGCAGAAAGTAGCAGTAGTTCGGATTGAGTTAGCTCGGAGTGGAGTGGCTGAGTTTACTGAGATAAGTTCCGCACCGGAACAATTGCAGGCGTGGTGAGCGATATCACGTGGAACGCTCAAATCACATGATACGCAATTTTAATCACGTGTTTTTATGTGTGCCAAGTCGCGTCCAAGTCGCGTCATCCAAAGACACCGCGTTTCTGGCGACCAATTGACGAACCGCCAGTGTGAATCTTTTTTAACTACCATCGCGAAGTCGAAACATATATGTAACGAATTTTTACCATTGCCCTGTTTTTCATGAAAATAAATATAAAGCAATAAAGCAGCCATGGAAGCTCGAGGACGGAGTGCCGACACTAGCGGACACCATACACCAGGTACAGTCGACGACCTTTTCGATTACGATGTCGGGCTGGATGAAATCCTGGAACAGACCGACTTGAACCAACATAACGACTCGTCAAACCCAGCATCAAGAAGGAATGACGAACCAGCAGACTCCAACGGTGCTAGCCTAGGTCTAGATGAGGAGATCAAAGTTGCGCCCAAGAGACGACCGGTTGCGAAACTGGACGAGGCACGGTAAAAAAAAAAAGCATGCATGCGGGAGCTTCTGGGTCGCTTTGCTAAACATGATCTTCAGACTACTATCGCCAGCCGGAATACCAAAGCTACGCAAGAATGCAAAAACCAAGCTCAAGTTCAGGGGGAAAGGCCATGAGGTAATAAATAATAATACAGCCATTCAATTCACCCTTTGAAATTGCTTGGTATGCGCTCTGCTGATACTGATATCTAATGCGTATATTATTTTCCCTAGTACTCTGACGCCATGCGCCTGCTCAACTTTTACCAGCTCTGGCTGGATGACCTCTACCCCCGCGCGAAATTCGCAGACGGTCTCGCTATGATCGAAAAGCTAGGCCACTCGAAACGGATCCAAATCATGCGAAAGGAGTGGATTGACGAAGGCAAACCAAGACTATATGCCGCTGACAGAGATGAGGAAACAAATAACGACACAACCCAGCTGCCAGCTTCGAATGCTGCGGCGGCCAGCAGCGATGGACATCCGCAAACCGAAAATGACAATGAATTATTTCCGGCTACCACCACAAACACCGCCCGGCGCGACCCGAGAACATCACCAGTCCAGAGAAACAATAGTACCGTTGATAGTTCCACAGAAAATCATATACCGTCCATTTTCGGCGGTGGGGAAGGCGGAAAGGGAAAGGCGGCGGAACACTACAACGCAGATAGCGATGACGACCTTTTCGTCCGGGGCGATCACAACGATAATGCTCATGTGGATATTAATAAGCTAGCGGGGCATGTCGAAAACTCACCCGAAGACGATGAGTTGGAGGCTCTCTTGGCTGAGCATGAGGGTGCTGGGATGCCATCAGGACTGGAATCAAAACCCAGTACAACGACTACCGCCATGGCGAAGGGTTCGGGTTCAGGACTACCCCCAGTAAGCGCTTTTGACGATTTGGATGCAATGGATGATTATGATATTTGACACCCGTAATTTTAGTTTAAAGAACTGAACAATTTGATGATAAGTGATAATGGGAATTTGATGAGTTTTTTGTTTTTTTGGTGTTGCCCATTTGCATTCCAACCCTTTTGTTCGAAAGTGAAAGAAGACAATTCTTGAAATTCTGATAAAAACAATGTTAAAACAGTGTTTGAATGAAGAGAATAGTAGTAGAAAAACATAATGGATCGCTGGACTTGAACGGGAAAAAGAAAGCTTTGGGTAAACTAAATGTTAAAGGAGACTTCCGAAATATTTCTATGAACTTCAACAAAAATAGGTGAAGAATGCATCGAGTGGGAAGATAAAATGCATGCAACAAAAAGCCAATGGAAACAACAAGCTTAATCAAATCCATGCTTATCCCATGCAAATAGCAAAAAAAAACATGAAATAGAACAAAACCAGAAAAAATTGGGGAAAAAATGCCAGAAACAATTTTCAAAACAAAATAAAACCAAGACGGGAGATACTAAATAAATCGGTGAAATCGGAAAAGGAAACTCTACAAGCCATCTGCCAAATTAATTCAAGAATTTGCCGTGTCGAGAGCAATCTCGGTGAAAATGGAAAATTGCCCACCAGCATCTGCCCAATTCAAGCGTTTCCCGCGCACAGCAGTGTTCTCCACAACGGACGCGACTTCGATATCCTCATCAGTCCCCTGCCCAGTTTGATAGTTGGCAGAGAAGCCCCACGACCACGCGCGTCCATCCTTACCGATAGCGATGGAATGCTCGCTTCCACTACCGATATGACAGGCGTCAATATCGGGAATATGGGTGGGGTTGGCGAGGATACGCGGTTTGTTCCTATCATCGCGAATGACGGATGAATCAGGCAAAGAGTCGATTTTGATGCCGGTCTGGAAGCCATCAAGACGGCCAAAGGCAAGACATTCACCCTTGGCGGTAAGGGCGAGGGAATGGTGCGAGCCACCGCAAATTTGGATGATGTCTTTGTCTGTCAGGGACTCGACAACGGCTGGGCGGAGAATGGCCGCTTCCCTGTCACCTGCGCCCTCGCGGATGCCCGTCTCGCCGAAGCTGTTGAGGCCCCACGCGTAGACCTTGCCGGACTTGTGGATGGCGAAGGAGTGGTCGGCGCCGCAGCCCAGGCCGACCATGTTTTTGGGAAGGCCGAATTCCCGGGGTTGTAAGCCGTTGATTTTGGTGCGCTCGATGATGCGGCGGCCTAGCTGGTTCTGTTGGCCGGAACCCCAGGCGAAGACGGAGCCTTTATCGTTGAGAGCGAGCACGTGGTTGGAACCGCAGGTAATGTATTTGATTTTCTTGAGGGTGGGTAGGAGGACGGGTGTTCTTTGGACTGTGGATTTTCCGTCAAAGCCCAAGATGCCGTCGTTGCTCTGATGCAAGAACGTTCGTTAATCGATTGGTTTCCAGAGAAGAAAAATCAACACAGCAAAAATAATGCACATGAGATGGAAAAATTTGCGACTTACTCTAAATGTACCCCAGCCATAGACAGATCCAACATCAGTAAGCGCGAAACTTGCACTGTCGCTGGCAGCAACTTGGACAAAAACAGTATCTTCGGGAAATGATTCAGACGGAACGGCTCCAGGAGTTGCTTCCCGCGGGTTCAGACCACTATCACTATCGGAATCCGAGTCTGAGTCGCTCCCATCACCTTCTTTGATGTCTTTGTAGCCCCCATCCCAAGTTGTGTCGCGACCCAACGCGCCCTGGTCATTGACGCCCCAGGTCAAGATCTTATTATCATGGGTGAGAGCAACGCAATGCATTCCGCCAGTCGCAATCTGGACGACACCAACCGTGTCTGCAGGCAGATGCGGGTTGAGGCGTGGGCGCTTCACGTCAACAACATTCTTGCCAGCACCAAGGCCAAGTTCTCCGGAACTCCCTTCGCCGCAAACATACACGTTCAATCGCTGTGTAGGAGCCTGGTTGATGACGATCTTGGGCTTGACGACAGGCGCCTTGACGACTCGGGCCTTCTTAGGTTCGCGCGTCGCGACCTCATCGGCGGCCGCTTTGCGCTTCTTGGGCGCGTCGACTTCGTCAACTTCGCTACTAGCAGAAGGTGAGACGCCGTTCACCTTGACATCTTCGGTTTTCTCAAGGGACTTTGTCTTTTTAGAGCCAGGCTTGGGACCAGGTTTAGCTTTAGGTACAGCCTTGGTAGATGATTTCTTCCCGGGTTCTTGAGCCGTTTTTCTTGTTTCCCTGGGCTTTGCAGCAGCTGTCGTGCTGGATGCGGCTTTTCTGGGAGCCATAACACGAGGGTTATCAATGCGAAATGAGTGAGAGAATAAATGAGAGAATAGTGGTGAGGGAGGTTATCGTGAGTTAATCAAGGTCCCTCGAGGGGAAATATGTAGGAGTTGGGGAGATTGGAGATGTTTTAAGATGTGTTAGATCTTTGGTTTCTTTTGTGGTTGGCGATACATTATTTATTTTTATTTTTTGTGGTTCAAAGGAGGATTATGTCATCACTACTTGCCAACACTAACACAAACCAAAAAAGATTCAGGAAAGATAATGAAAAGAGTGAAGATCTTGCAATTCAAAGAATCAATTAAAGATGCAAGATATTAACCATATTGATAATGGGATGGTGAATTACACTGCCACATTGGGGGGTTATATGCTGTCAAATAAATATAACTACTTCACTCCATACATCCATTCCCCGCCTCCTCCGGTATCTAGCTACCCTGCACCATGAATGAATATTAGGGCTTATTATAATATAGACAGGTCCATGGATGCTAGCTAGTAATCATAGAAATACCGCGGTGGTTTATTCCCAAAGATAAGCCGCCAGCCCTGAGTTCGGCAACGAACCGCGATACCCGAGCAGTTCGTGGAATTTCTAGCTATTCCCTGCATGAAACTCCATACTCCATTTCTCATATGCGGGGGTGAATGAATATACGTGAAAAATATACAAAGTCACAGGAGTCACCACTGTACGAAGTACATGTATACAACACCGCCCAATACATAGTGAAGTTCATTCCATTCAGAAATATATATATACACAATGACAGGACGCCCAGCCAACCTCCCCAAATTCACCGACGTGCCTTTGAACAAAGGAGATCCTCCATTTTCCGCATGGGGCTTGTATGGGAAGGATGACCAGCTGGGATTCCTCAATCGCCAGACCGACACCATTGTGGTGGAGGCTGTGAAGGAGATAAAGACGGGTGTGAGGTGAGGAAGCTTATTATGATTTCCTGGTAGTGTACGGAGTAGTATACATGTATATCTTTGCTGCTGTCGAGTTCGCTATCTGCTTTGCTTGCTTGTCCGTGATTTGGTCCGCATACCTGAAGGATAAAATCAATACGTACAAAGAATAAATACATTCTTTCATCGTATTGGTCCACCCACACAAGGCTACCCCCCCCCCCCCCCCCGATTCTTCGCCCACGTTGAAAGACAGAGAGCTAATTATAATTTCAAAGAGTGTCGCTAAACTGGCCGCTGGACGCCCAAAGCAAAGTTCACTTCTTCAGCCGGCAGGTGTTCCACAAGCAGATCATCGACAAATCGCCTCGGACAGTGAATGATGATTTCTGGACGTTTAACACGCAAAGTAGTAGCCGGTGAAAGTTTTCCCCCTTTCTTCCCAGAGCTGTCCAGTGTGTGGCTGCAGCTCGGATAAAGAGGAATATAGCTAATCGAGGCCCGTCTAATTCTTCTTCTCGTGTAGGGGATGGACTCCGTCACTTCGGCTACCAGAAAGAAAAGAGGTTCTATAACGGCGTTACAATGGAAGACATTCACGGATCGAAGGACAGTACCGTCAACGGAATTCAGCATACATATGATGCGACGAGAAAAATCTTTGCGAGTTACGCATAATCTGACGGTCTTATTTCTATTTTTTTCTTCCTTGGGCCGTGACAGCCTAGGCAGAGAGAGGAATCGTAGGCCGTGGAGTCCTGCTGGATTTCCACAAGTGAGCATTAGCAAACAATATCCCAGCCGAGATATTTAAGAGAATTTCAATTCCGCTGAAATATCTCCAGGGTGTGGCAGAGTCGCAGGGGACAGAGATAAATTTTGGAGACATACTTATCATCCGAGTTGGTAGGACAATGCTTTCCTCTTCTCTCCATTTCCCTCCTATGCTTTATCGGTTTATGACGCTAGGATATATGAAGGCATTTAACCAGCTATCAATGGATGAACTGGAAAAGCTGGCCAAACAAAACCCGTCCAATTTAATAGGGGTAGAACGCAGCGAGGAGGTGCTTGAATGGATATGGGAGAACTTCTCCGCAGGAGCAGGCGATCATCTAGCTTTTGAAGCATATCGTGAGCCCCCTCCACCCCTTTCTCCTCTCAGATCGCAGATCTCTATTGTGGAAATGTGTTCATGTTGCAGCCAATTGGCACTAATCCAATGAAATCTTTCGATCCCATCAGCTCCACCGAAAGACTGGAGCATGCATGGGGTGCTCCTCGCAGGCTGGGGATGTCCTATCGGAGAGTTATTCGACCTTGATAAGCTGGCTGAGGAGTGCGAGAGGCAGAATAGATGGTCGTTTCTCGTCGCGAGTGAAATGTACAACGTTCCAGGTGGAGTTGCAAGGTAAGTGGAAATCAACCCATACCCAGTAGTATACTGTGTGTTGAAATAAACCAGTCATGTCTGACGGAGACATTTCATGCATATATGTATATATATAGCCCACCAAACATCCTGGCAATATTTTAAAAAATCCTATTAACATCCGGAAGTGAATCACGAATTTTCTTGAGAATTCCCAGCAGTTCCCTGTGCGCTTTCTTTATTTCTTGCTTGACTACCTTCCTGCGAGTTATTTTGCGCATGCTCTTGGGCATTTCCCTGAGCAACAGCTTCGATGCCGGAAACAATACGCGGGGGAGGAGCGCGTATCTTGCCGCACATAACAACATCCTGACCTAGTGGTTGCCATTTAATATCATACGGATTAAGAGCACTGATCGGTTTGCCCGTATTATCTTTTTTCGCGTCTGGACTGACCCCAACACCACCCCGGCCTAAAAACGTAGGAGCAAGCGTAATTATAAGCGAATCGACAAAGTCAACGTATTCAGGATTCAGTAGTTCACTAATCACAGTTGCGCCACCTTCAATCATGACACTGGTGACTCCCTCGGTTCCCAGGGCCCTTAGAATAGCTTCCCATCTAAGTCGCCAGCTTTGATTATATTCCACAATGCGTAGGTAGTCGCCTCCGTGATTCTTGAGTGTCAGGACTTTTGCCGGCTGGATGTTTGCTCCAGGAGAGACGATGACCCACGGCGCCTTGCCCTTCCCCGCCTTGGCAGTTTTTAAAAGCCTGCATTCCGGGTCCGCTGGCCATCTTCCAGTTGGGTCCACGATAATTGGTCTAGGTTGCCACATTTTGCCTAATCCCCCAAAGCCGCCTGCGCCCGCCAGCCGGCAATTTAGGCCAGGGTTGTCTGCTATGGCAGTTCCAACCCCAATTAAGATAGCATCATGTCGCGAGCGCAGATAGTGAGTCATGACCTTCGTTTCAGGCCCAGACAAGGCTGTTTGTATGCCGGGGAAAAGAGACACCTTAGCATCCATGGAAGATGCATACGTTAGGGTGACGAAGGGGAACTGTCGACCCTCCTCGTAACTGGGGAGATATGGCTGGAGAAATTCCAAAGAATAACTAGGAAACCTTAGCGCATCGGGAGGAATTTCGTAACGAGAGTTTTGCGGCTCGTGTTGCATCATTCCATTACGATGCTCCAGTACGGGGCCTTGAATGCGCATGATACCATAGCCCTGCTGATAATGATAACCTTCATGTTCCCTCAATTTGACATCGGGATGTAAAGCGCGCCACTTAGCAGAGACGTTGCGGGCATCGGTGACGCTGAAGAATTTCCCACCGGCAGCCATCAGTTTATCCGGCTCCTCGCGTAACTTTGCAAATATAGACGACGGCAAGTAGCCCTTCTCAGCTTCCTTCCTGCAAAACTCTATCAGGCCCGAATTCCTCTTCACCTTATCAATGTGATCCAGATCATGCGAATGCGTCCGACTGCTACCCGGCGTCCTTGTTATCGTAACAGCAGAATAAGCGCCGTCAAACTTCACCACCTTAATTTGTACGTTGCACTGATTCCCTTGCCTGACCATCTTCTTCCTCGCCCTCTTTCCCTCAGGCAGCGGTCTTGACGGGTTCGGTCTGCAAGTCGCCCTCCGTAGTCGGCACATGTAGTAATCGGTAGTCGTAAGACCGTCCTTGGTTGAGTTTGACCTCTGCTTCACCCAAACGTTATCTATAAACGGCCAGTACGTGTGGAACTCCTCCACGCTCATTTCCACGGCATCCTTAAGCTCAAAGAGAACCTGCCTGATCCACCCGAGGTTGGGCGGGTTGCTGAAGAGGCTGTAATAAGCTGGGCCCGCAGGCGCGGGAGGTATAACTTGCTCAGAGGGATGTTCGGGGGACGTTGCTGAGTCGGTATTACTTGTCGGCTGCGGAAGTGACGAAGGCTCAACTGATTGCGAAGGCTGGGGGTCTGGTTCAGCCTCAACCTGCGCTTTTATATCGCTCTGGAGTCTGGAATCGTCGTCCTCGGCATCGTCCATGTCCACATCTCCATCCATCTCAGCTGTTTCGGCTGAGTTTTCCGTCTCGGCGTTCGACTGAATCGAGGTGTCATTCTGCTGCTCTGGAAGGCTCGAGGACCGCGACTGAGGGGAGCCAGGTGCTGTACTAGCGCCCCCTTCGTCCATGGCTGCCCCGTTGGTTACTAAAAGGTTCAAGCACGAGTACGGAGTAGATATAATGGCACTGAGGGTTTCTAGTCCTTCTGGGAGAAAAAGTCGTGGTGGTAGTTTATTGGCCTGAACGAAAGCTTGGAGGCTTAAATAGTTCCAGCGGTTTTGAAATGGTGGGAGCTTAGAAGCGGTGATGCAGGGGTGAAAGAACGACGAAGAGAAGTATCACAACCTGAAAAAGCCAAAAAAAAAAAATGAATAGTTAGAGGTCAATTATAGACAGATATTTATTTGTCAGGAATATTTGAGGTTCAATTGAGCTTGGGACGGCGACGAAAGGCGCGAGCAAGTGGGGATAACCCGCGCCAACGCCAAGAGTGACTAATAATAATAATAGCGCTGGGTATATATATATATATTGAACAGTCTCTCGATTGGGTGGATGTAAAATTACCAGGCTATAGTGTATTGCTTTTTATTCACCTCCGAAGACTGTTCATATCCCCAGAGTTCGATCTGCCGCAGGACAAAGCTTGGGCTAGATTAAATATTCTGCACATTAAAATCAATTGCTTCAAATGTGAGAAATAGGAATACGACATCATTGTTCTATTTCTTCCTAGTATGTTTAAATGGGTATAGGTATATCCATCTCCAAGGCCAGGCAGGGCCAATCACCTTTCCTGGGTACGAAACAAACATAAACAGATAATATATCGAACAAAAATAATGTCAAAATAAAAAGCTGCATTTAAAAGAAGAGGATATAAGAAGCGCTTTCTACCCAGCACGTCAAACAAATACTCAGAACATCATTACAACCCAATCTCTCCACCCGCTTTAGCTAGCATCTCATAGACCCGCGGCGGCAACTTGTACTTGATCATACCTGCGAAAACCATTAAGTCTTTCGCCATCACGAGAAGCTCATCCGCCAAGCTCTGTCTCATGTCATTCGCATAGGCTCCTTGTTGAAGTCTTTCTCGTTCGCGACCGATGCACATCATACTCCACATAATTAGCTGGCCGGCATTTCTAGAGATGACCGGGGGAAGGGATGGGAATGCCTGTGCGGCACTACGAATGTATGGGACCGAGCCCTGAGCTCGCAATGGCAGTATTTGGAGATTGTTTATATCCTGTTGAGGTCAAATGTCAGTCCACTCTTTTCTAGAGACTGCGAGATATTAAAGCACGCCAAGGAAGAAAAACAAAATGCAAAAAGCTTACATCTAGTGCCTGAGCCCATTTCCCAGCTTCAACGTTCGCCTTTGCTTCCATCGTGCGCAGCAACAAACCACATGCATCCCGGTTGATCTGATGTATTTTCTGATAGTAAAGCGCGTTGGTATTATAGAGGCCAATCATGTTCTTAGCGAGGACAACCGGATCGTCAACCGCCGTGAGACTAAGGCTGCTTCCTTGTTCAGTGGGGGCACCTGCTTGTTGGGGCTGCTGCTGTGGCTGTCCCTGGCTGTCCGGTGTGGTTCGTGGTTTTAAGGGCTGCAGCTTCTTTGCTGAGTCACCCAAATCCACCGCGACGGCATCCGCAAGGGCGCGGTTGATGATAGAGATAACATTGTCGTATTCTTCCGCCAGGTGGTATAATAGAACGGCATCTGCAATGAGTCCCTTATCATCAGCCACCGCTGCTGCTTGAACAGTGATGGTCTTTAAGAATTCCTCCTGGTCGATAAGTTTGATGAGCTTGAGCCGCCGTTCGATTACGCCCTTGATTCGGTTGCCGTCGCTGCGAATATCTCCTAGCAGAATGGCGAAGTCTCGAGTCTCCAAAATGAATTCCCTCAGTGCTTCATGGCAGACTGAGGCTTGTGATTTGCCAAGCTCTCCCGGAAGATCCGCATTCAGGCATATAAGGGTAAAATAATCGACTGCAGCTTCAACATATCCGGTGCGGAATTCGCGAGTGTACTGCGTAATGAGTGATGCGAAGTTGATCTGAGGAGCTTGCTTCGTGCTAAAGGTCACTGTTGCACAGGTTTTCGTTAGCAAAATTTAAGGTTAACAGTCTAGGAGGCCCCACACTGGTTATGGCAATGCTTACAAAGTTCGTCGCCTGACGTGTAAAAGTCGGAAACGCGGAGTAGTCCATAGAAATCCAGAGCAATTGCGAAATGCACAGCACTGATCGGCGCGTGATCCGCAAGACACGCTATGGCCTGTTCGAACATGCCTCCGAGGATCTGGAGGAGGAAGAAAGTCCCATAGCCGCCCGGACCATCCTGACCCTTTCCAAACACCCGCTGCCCAATTTCCGTGATATCGCTCTGAATTTCCTCCAGTCCAAAGAGTTCTCCAGCCACTTCTTCGGTTCGGCTATCTTCCCTGGCGAAAACGAACTGTAGCCACATCCAATCCTCTACACCCTGCCCGATACTGTCAAACCGACGTTGGCTCAGGTCACAGCGACCAATGATTTTATAACATGCCATGCGATATGGGTCGACGGTATTCTCCGGGGCATTGCGTAAGCGCTGCTGATACTCTCCATTGATTTTCTGCTGAAGGTCTCTAGGAAGTCTTCTGCTCTGGGCATAGGTTGTCATGTAGGTAACAAACTTGTGATCAAGGGACCGGAATCCCGGATCCTGGCTCACATATTCCGCTGCTTCCTTAACAAAGCCACATCTGAGGAGATAAAAGATGAGGATCCAGCAGTAATCCTGGCCTACCATTTGGAGTTCCATGCCATCAGGGGCAAGGTCCTTACGTGCGGCACGAAGGCGAATGTAGGCGCGAATCTTGTTGGTTATAGAAGGGACTCCACCAAGCTGGGCTTCGCGGGGGTTCTTTGCAATAATAGTTTCGACTTCTTTGTAAAACAACTGTTCCAAAAACTTTCTGGACCCTTCAATAATTCTCTTTCTCATCCTCGTCGCTCCAACGGAGTGGAAAGTATCATCTAGGTAGTCGTCCGCAAATTGGCGTTCCTTGAGTACACCGGGCTCTGAAAGGCTAGTGGAGTTTGGACTTTCATTTACCATGCTGATCAACGCATGATAAGCTTCAATTAATTGCCGTGGAACCTAAAAAAAAAAAGAAAAGCCCGTTAGCAAAAATAATATAGATTTTTTTTTTTTTTTTTTTTTGAAAAGGGAGACCGTAAATAATTCACGTACATCCCCTCCAGCGACCCGCTCAGTTTCTGCAAATTGGTGTAGAATTGGGAACACCCTTTCTTGAAGTCTTGCTTCATTGAGTGCCTGAACGTTCGTCGCAAAGTGCCGAATTTTTTCCCTCAGGAAACGAGAATCAGCGGACGCCATACCGGCAGCCCCTTCGCTCCGCATAACAGAATCAGAAAGAGACTGGGGAGCACGCCCACTAATTGAAGGAGACCCAATGACAGATTTCCCCAACGCTGATCGACCAAATACGCTGCGCCTGCCACTCGCTTCTCCACTCCGCGGCACTCCTGGTCCTCCAGCGGACCGTCCCAGCGTTGCTGATTTCCCGAAGGCGCCGCGGGAAGAATCAGATTTCCCCCGCGCAGAATCATCTCTGGTCGTCAAACCAAAGTGTTCATAGATTTTTTGACGCTGCTCGTCCCAATTGACGTTCACTTTCTCCTCGAGAAACGCGTCAAAGTCCTTACGGACACGAGCAAGACTTTCAGCAACTATCGCCTCCCTCCCACGCTGCTGAACTTGTCGTAGGAACTTTTGATTGTCGGGATCGAACTTATCGGTATGCTTGAACGGGCTGCTCGCCGTGGTTTGGTTACCCAACATTTTTAGATCCTGCAAAACTTGGCCCGGGGAGATACCGGAGGCAGCCAGAGAGTAATGTCTGGGGACGACAACTAGGCATTAGCAAAAATTGCATTGTCATAAAGTAAACTATATAAAAAATGGATGAGCAAAGGCGGAGTTTTACGCTTTATTATCAGCACGTTTAGGCCCCTGTCCTCCGCGCTCACCGGCCGCCCCCAAACCCCGCGCAGCTCTCCGAATATCATCCAAACCAAGCTGGAGATTAGGAAGGTCGGCGGAAGCAACATCTCCGATAGATGGATGTGGGCGTTTCTTACCACGCTCCAACAAGCTACTAAAGTACGCGGGTTGTGTAGACTGAGAAGCGGAAATGGACTGTATCGCTGGCTGTGCCTGTGGCTGCGCTTGCGCCTGGGCTTGCGCACCTGGCTGATTCGCAAAAAGCGAAGAGCCCAGATTGCCTTGTGTGGTGCTTTGGCCGAAGGAGGGAGCACTTGCTGGCTGGCCGATCAGAGTCGGCGTGTTGGATAGGGTCGATGAGAAGGTCCCGAATGGAGTAGATTTTTGTGGTTGCTGCTGCTGCTGCGTTTGGGCTTGTGAACCTCCAAGATCGAATAGACTTCGTTTTGCTGATTGATCAGCCGCTGCACCTCCAAAGAGGGAGCTTTGCTGAGCAGTATTTTGGAACATGATAGGTCCCTCGCTAGTAGATGGCGCTTCCTCGAATGTTTGATGCTGGTACGTATGTTGTTGGATTGTCTATGTTTCGGCGACGACAGAAAGGAATGTATAGGGAGTGAACGTGCGAGGGAAACAGGAAAGCTCGGCCAATCTGGAAGCACGGGCACTTGTTATCCAGACAGACGCTCTTCGTCCTCGTTTTCTTCTTCTTCTACTCCGTCGTCATTCAACAATAAAAAGTTCTAAGGAAGCTCCAAACCGTTTTTGGATGTTTACTCCGGAATAACATTTCGCCGGACGTTTCCTGGCGGCTAATATTTTGCCGGAGGTTGATGGAGGAATTTGTCCAACCACAACATATTATACTAAATACTAACACATCACAGCAATCTCTGATCCCGGACCCTCATCCTTTGTCCCATATCCCTCCCGCTTTTCAACCAATTGCTCACGATGTCATTCCAAGCCAAACGCTTCCGACCAACAGTGAACTCCGCCTCCACCCTCGGCGAACGGTTGGGTGCCAAATATCGTGCACATCTCAAAAAACACCCATTCCTACTCTTCGGTCTGCCTTTTATTGGCGTCATGCTAGCCGGGTCCTTCATCCTCACTCCCGCGACGGCATTGAGATACGAGCGCTTCGATCGGAAAGTCCAGCAAGTGAGTCAGGAAGAGGCGATGGGGCTGGGCCTGAAGGGACCGGATGGCGATGATGCACAGGTCAAACGGAATCCACGACGGAGAGTGCTGGGGAGTGAGAAGGAGGAATATTATGTTCGTTCACTCATTTAATTCCTTAATATATATATATATATCTTTGCTACCCTTCTTCCCTTTCTACCTATTTACGAAGATTCCAACTTTGATCGACCCTGTTACCTGTTACTGACCACAAACGAACTTCCTCACCATTTAGAAACTCATGGCCAAGGATCTTGATAACTGGGAACAAAAGCGCGTACAGCGATTCAAAGGCGAACCGGATGGTAGATTATAAGCGAGCAAAAGCTCCAGCAAGCGCAATCAATACAATCCCTACATCCCTACATCCACACATCCTAGGGTACCGGAGGGCTCCTCACCCTCCCCCACTCCACTCAAAATACATCCGCCAACACATCCGCCAACGAACGCAGAACAGGCGCACGGCACTTCTATTTTGGACCATGTCTTTTTTTTTATATATAATTAACATATTTTCACCAACGATATTTTGCCGCAAACCAAAGAACTATCCCCTTCTCTCACTACAGCAGTCTTCCCGATCCTGTGTCAACCAACCAACGAGAGCTGAGAAATCCGGCGAAGCTATATTCGCTAGCAGGTGCACATGCGCGAGTGGAAGATCCGGAACTTTATCGCAACCACTTGCATCGCAGCCAAGGAGCATAGAGGAATTGGACAAAAAAATAAATAAAAATAAAAATAAAAAGGAGAGAGAGAAGGAAAGTGACGGAAATCAAAGAAAAGACTTAACCCAACCTTTTCAGCCATTAACAGCCGCTCATGCCAGAGTGCAACAACCCCTTGCCCCTCCTTCCGAGGAAAAAGTCGCAATGGGTAATGTGGGGTAGCTCGTTCAGATGCATGGATTACCTTGCCTCTCTTTCACCCTTCCTTTTTTTATTATTATTTTTTTATTTTAACAAAACCTAAACAGGGTTGATTGAACGGGTGGCAGGGATTCGTGAATGTCGCTGAACGAGTTTCGCAGAGAGAGAGAGAGAGAGAGGCAGTTTTCGTGGGTTTGGCAATAATAATGAATGATGTACTCCGTACATGTGCATGCGCATGTGCATGTAATTAAATGTACACTGTACATCATTGTGCATTGTGATTTTCATGGTTTAACCGTGATGTGATGTGGGCGAGAGCTGCGATGCAGATAATTCCACAACCCACAACCCCCTACTACTCCGTACAATGATGACACGACGATACACGCTAGCGGGTAGGAGGACGATAAGAGAGAGAGTTCGACAGTAACAGCGGGGGAAAACACAATGATTCTCTGGAGAATTTTTTTTTGGTGTGGTCACATGAAGATGATGGGATGGAGGTATTTTATCTTCTGTGTCTGGTAGAGATCGAAGGAGTGGAGGAGGAGGGGTAAGGGGAGAAGGATAAGTTAGTAGTATATGATGGCAGTCATGGCCCCCCCCCCTTCCACCTCCACCTCCATCTCCACCTCCACCTCCACCTCCACCTCGACCTGGTTGAGTATACACACCTAGGCGCGCAGGCAGGAAGCGAAAGAAACAGGGGGTGGGATTGAGGCACAGTTCCTTCAACCGCGATGTACGGGGTAACATATCCATCTGGTGACATTTTCTTTTTTTTTTTTTTTGGTTTTTCTCTTTTGGGCGGTTCATGCAATCATCGTCGTTCATTTGTGTTTGTTTGTGCATTGCATGATCCTCATATGCATATACACATCTACACATGACTTATCCACATTTTGTTCCATGTATTCAGGGTATAATTTCTTTATTTATTTATTTATTTCTCCTTTTTTCTTCGCGAAACCATTGGCTTTCCGATTCGATGAATATATTATGTATGTATGGGTAAGGAAGGGAGGGGCCAAGGCCGGGACCGTAGTTAGGTTAGATAGAACATGTAATGTACATGTACCTACTACTAGTTACCGCACGTAGAAAAACCCTGGTTCTGGGGAAAGAAAGAAAGGGCCTAGACAAGTTCAATGATCATAATCTTTTAATAAGAGAGTTGAAGTCCATGTGGTTGCTGTTGATGTCGGCGGCGAGGGTGGTTGAGGGTTCGATGAAGCGGGATGAGGCTCATGAATATCTCTCTATATATTAAAGAAAAACCAACTTTTCCGTGCAAAAAACGCTGTAACGTGACCTCATGTGATATCACATGCACCCCATCAAATTTATGATTGAGATTAACAGCCAGCTCTGCGGCCTGTACAACTCTGATAGATAATCTTCATTCTTTTCTTTACAGGTGTTCTCTACTGTATTTACATTCTTTATACTCTTATCTATGTTCATTACAACCTGTGTACTACATTCATTATAATCTGTGTATTCATTAATATACTCTTTCATGCGCTGCTGCTTAACATGTGAGAATTCTTATCCTCTCAGCACATTTGAACATCCTCAATTCAATGCATTATTTCATACATGCTCTACATGCTGTCAAGCCCAGTGTCATGCACATCAGACACATTCAGTTCAAATCTCTCACTTATCATTGAGAGATGTAGCTGCTTCTGTGCTTAACTCACAGTAAGTTAAGCTGTCACACTGTGATACATGCTATGAAGACTATTCATCTCATCTGTTCTGTATTATCAATTATATGTTCAAGAACTGTAACAACTGCTGAGCTCTCAATTATGAATATGCTCATGATATCAAATGCTATTATCTGACAGCTGCTGCAGCAGTTCATACAGATTATATATATATAAATTCATCAGAGCAGCTGTTTCTTGATGTTCTTAATAATTGAATCAGCTCAACTATCTCTGAATCAGCTGTTAATTCTTCAATCACTTACAGTCACTGATCTATTCTCTGCAGCTTTCAGTTCTACATCTATCACTGTCAATCACTTAATTTTAATTAAATAAATGTCTACTGCTCTGTCTGCAGAGCTAAGCATTGAATTAATGAATATATACATAAGTTATTAAAAACTCTATCAGTGTTTTTCACATGCTGTGTAAGAGATACTGTAAGACTGCTGTCTGTCAAAGAACTCTTACAAGAGCTATATGAGCTGTTTAATGATAATACAGCTGATACAAAGTATTTTTATAAGTATATTCAGAACTACAACTCTGCTCTAATATTTATATCTATTAAGTGTAAGCAGAATTCATATCTGAGTTATCTGACTACTAGTGACTCAGTGTTATTTCAAATACAGAGAGAACTCTATCATCTGTAAGAGCTGTTAGAGTCTGAGCTAGATAAGAATGTCTATTTTATACAAACATGAATTCACAACTCATGATTTAATACAGATATTTTAAATAGTGCAGACTCTGTTATACATTCTAGTATATTTAATCATATCTGTATTACATTGCTTACTGTTCATTTATTTGCTTTTTCATATTCTTCTATTATATTGTTATAACTGCTAATATTCTCAAGATTAATTCTTTTATTCAGCTTTATCAGTCTGTATGAAAGATACTACAGAACAGCTCTGCTATGTATATTAGTTTAAACTCTGTTCTACAGCTGAAGACAGATAATGATTATTATCATGAGAATCTGTCTACTGTCTCTGAGATTGCAGTTATTATACAGAACACTTTTAGCAGTGTCTGTCATCTCTGTGTTATTCTTCTGATGCTATGACAGCCTGGTAGACTGATCATCAGAATCATGAATTTCACGTTTGATCTTATTTGATCTGATCTCATACATTTCTTAGCGTGAATCCCGCTGGGACTGGCTATTAAAAAAACAGGTAAAGTGACTATATATCAGATCTTAAAATGAAACCATGACTTGAAAAAAATAAGAAAGTGATTTCATTTGATTCCATTTAGTCTCATTCTTAGCATAAAGTTACTATTTTTAGACATTTTAAGGTTTTTTTTAGACTATTTTTAATTTTTTAAAAAGTAACACTTTTTGATAACACTCAAATGAGATTTAAAGTCATTTAAAGCAATAAAAATAATTTAAATTGAGAAGTGAAAATCATAGTCTCATTTGAAAAATGTGATAAGAGTAGACAGTAAGTCTCACTGAAACAGTATGAGACTACTATCTAATGTTAAAACCGTGTAATGAGATAAGTCAAATTGATAATAAAACTATTAAAAAATCTGGTTCTGATCTCAGACACGGTCACACGGTCAGTCTACAGCCTGATACTGACTTGAGTCTCATATATATTAATTCTTACAGTCTGTTATATCTTTCACTGTATTATGTTCTACTTTTTTCTTTCAGAGATCACAGCTGACATGTTGATATAAATATACTTGCAGATCTCTCACCTGCCTGTAACAGCTCTGATGATGATGTTGATAATACTATTAAGAATGAAGATGAGTATGACAGCTATAACCTGACTCTGCATATATGATATGTATATAATCTTTTTCAATGAGATGATGTTGATGCTTCTCTTTTTCAGACTGAATATCTATTTCAATAATATTTAGTTAATATCTATACAAATGTTGATGAACAGCAGCTGAACTGAGTCTGTGCTCACTAACTGAAAATCTGTGCAGATCAATATAGTGATCTATGTAATACTATACAGGCAGATAATACAGATCATGAGCAGCTTGATCACTATGTGATATTATCTGCTTCTTATATAAACAGTGAATATTTTATGTATAAACTGTTTCAGAATTCTATGATAATTGTCTTCAACTACAGATATTTAACTCTTTTCATTACATTCACAGTCAACTCTGAGTAAGAGAAGATTATCTGTGAGTTGCTCTCTGATCAGACTGCAGCAGACTGCTCAGATTTGATTGTATATGTTTTTATAATGAAGATTTTTCATTTTCTTGATATTCTCAAATTCAGACAGCTGTTCAGACTGATGTTGATCAGAGTATGAATAATTGAATATTAAAAACATGAACTGTCTTATATGTATCTGTTGATCTGACTAGAGAACTCTGAGCAGTTTTTACAGTCTAATATAATTAATGATATTATATCTGCAGAGCTATCAAGCTCTGCTGAGAATATAGACAGATTAAATAAATTGATCTGTAAATTCATGATTCATGATTTATGTAATACTGACAGGGTGAGCCCCTGTCATGAGAATGATAGATGTATAAAATGTTTTCTCAAAGCTTTTCAGAGTGCTATAGCTGTTGAAGAGAATGACTATTCTCTGTACAGATAAGAGTATAATTCATCTATCTTCTTTAAATATACTGTCAATAATAGTGAGATTGTAATTGATAATCAATGAGTTATTTTATACAATCTCTATCTTATTCACACATATAAAGCATATATAAATGTAGAGATCTGTGTCTCTGTTGAAGTCATTAAATACATTAATAAATACATCTACAAGGGCCTGAACTGCACTGCTCTTCATATCATTGACTTCAATAATGAGATTGATATTTAACTGTATGAGTGTTATATCAGCTCAACTGAGACTGTATGATGTATATTCACATTCTGTATTTATCAGAAGTTTTCATCTGTTAAGATATTATCTATTCATCTACTGAACTGTCAGATAATTTACTTCTCTGAATCTGAATGTGAAGATTATGAACATATTACTGAATATTTAATAAATAACATATTTAAGTTCATAGCATTCTTTGTCTATAATAATTCACATCTGAATGTTCAGTATCTCTATCAAGAATTTCTCTATCATTTTATTTGAGACAAATGTAATCAGAGGTGAAAGAGCTGTATGAAGAGAAGATCAGTTGATCATCTATCTCATCTCAGTTCATATAATAATGAGATGTTCTTTTTACAGCTGCTTCTTATTAACATATGTGATTCATCAAGCTTTGAGACTCTGTGAATAATGAATAGTGTTTATCACTCTACATTTTATATAGTATGTCAGGCACTTGATCTTCTATATAATGATAATAAGTGAATTATTACATTTGAATCTGCTGTTATATTTATAACTGCTCACTGCATGCAGTCAGTATTTGTCACTGTATTAATTCATGAAAATGTTGCAGATTCATCTGCTCTCTGAGCATGTTTTTATCATACTCTCTGTGATAATCTTTCATATCAACTATATCAGATAAATTCAGACTGTATTATCAATACTTCTGCAGAAGATTTATATTATAACTATAATCTGTTTCTTATTCAACAGCTTCTGTATGAGTTTGACAAGATTCTTACAGACTTTGACCTGCCTGCATGCAGCTCTGTATGAGATAATTTTATTGAAAATCAGCTACTTTTTGAGAAGTAGAACTATAATCTTATAGAGAAAATTATCACTGCAGATGCTCTACAGATGCAGTTGAATGATAATTAATATTATACATATAATTCAATTCTGACTGCAATAGAATTACAGTTATCTCACTATTTTCTACAAGATTCTGATGATACTGATAAAACATTTCTTTACAGAGCTCTCTATAGCTATTTATATACAGGTGAAAAAACAGTTCTTTATATAACTTTCTCTGACATTGCAGCTGTTCTTTTACCATGTGACAGAACTGCTCACTCATGTTTTATCATCTCAATTAAATTGAATACAGATTCTGTGTTAAAGATAATTATTTACAGTGAACTGAGCTGTCTGCTGCAGACTGTAGACTTGATTATTTAAGATGAAATCTTCATACAGCACTGCTATTATATGAAGATTATTAACTATCTTCTTCAAGATTTATATTCATCAGATGAGCTTTTTAATGATATATCTATTATATTTAATAATGATTTTGCACAGACTCTATCTGTTATACTATGTGATAGTCATACTGCAGTTGTTACAGCTTGTCTGCAGTGTTTATATATATAACAGCAGTTAACTGTACTGCACTTGAGAAGAAATATAAGACTGACTGTGAATAATGATAATATGATATTTGTGAATTAACTTAATCAAATGTTATATAATCTGAACTGTATTGACTGTGTTAATCTTTCATTCTATATTTATCAGACTGCTGACATCAGTGTGCTATATAAAAGAGTATTTTCTACAGCTGAACTTAGAACTGCAGCAGTCTACTCTAATTACTTTGAAAGCTATACTATTCTCACTGTATTAAATCAGAATGCATTTCACATTAATGAACAGATTATAACAGTTATATCAGATAATATTCATATGTTTTATACTGTAGATATAACTTATACAGATGATCTAGTTCTGAGCTGTGAAAAGTTCTCTTATAAATATCTAGTTATTATTAACTGTTCAGTTCTGTCACTATTTATATTGAGATTGAAAGTGAGTACTTCTGTTATACTTCTGTATAATCTTCAACTGTCTGAAGAGCTCTGCAATGATATAAGAATAATTATTCAGCAGATAATAATCTGTTTACTTGAGATGAAGATTATATTCAGCATGTATAAGAGTTCAGTTCATATACTATCACAGATTGATCTACAAGCTCAATCTATTAAGATTTCATTTAATATGACTTATTATCAGTTTTCAGTCTGTTCATGCTTTGTAATGACAATTAATAAGTCTCAGAAGCAGTCTCTTTCTATAGTTAATATTAATCTCAGAAACTCTGTATTCTCACATAATTAGCTATACATTACACTCTCTTAAACTACAGATATTAATCAGTTAACTGTCTTGCTAGATGAGAATGATAAGAGATATATATTAAATGAGATATATTCAGAGATTCTACAGTTTCTTAACTAATTCTTCTACTACTGCTGTTTTTTCTTCATTGTCTACATAATACTATTATCAGATGTTAAAATAGAGATCTTTGAATATATAAAAAACTGTCATTTCAATTTGATACTAATTATTAAAGAAAAGAAAAAAGTAATAATATCTTATCAAGCTTATTTTCACATCTTATACAGCTTATACAGTCTGCTCACATCATTCTCTATTTTTTGAATTTTTTAATCAGAGCTGTAATATCTGTGAAGACACTCTGTTAACTGAGCTGAGTTATCTGTAACAGATTCACAGTCTCATTTCACTCTCTATATAAATATTTCATCTCTTTCTTCATCTTACAGAGTCAGTGCATCTTCACTTACAGTTATAATAACTTCAACTCTGTAATCTCACTATCACTTACTTCATCATTCTTCTCTTTATTCTTCAGAGTTATAAATATTATCTGTTTCTTTTTAATTGAACTGAATGACTGAGCTATCTGACTCAGCTTCACACTGATAGTCTGCTTCTTCTTCTTTCTCTTCTTCTTCTCATTCTTCTCTGTATTGACAGAGATGAAGAACTGCTGATTCTCTGTTATTTTCATATCAGTATATATATTTTATATATACATTTTACTAATAAATTTACATACTATAGAGATGATTCATTACTTATCAGACTGCAAGCTGCAGTGTTTACTCAGTGAATTATAGTGATAATTTACACAGACTCTCTTCAACATACTAGAGATTATAATATACTTAATAAATGAATCATAACTCTTCTCATATGAGCTGTATGACAGAGTGACTTTGATATCACAGCTGTGAGTAAGTGCTGATTCTATATTTATTATTCTTTTTAGCTGAGACTTGAATTTCTTCTCATACAGTACTATATCTCTCTTGAGCTTCATCTTATACAGCTGTATAATAATTTCACTGTCTTTCTTGACTATTTATTCTATCAGCAGTTATAGTCTATGTTCAGACATTGATGCATTAGTAAGCTGCTGATGTGACTGCTGAAAAGCAGATACAGACAGATTAATAAGCTGCTGAGTCTTCAGAGTTCTCTGAGCTTGCTGAGCTTGCTCTGCACTATTATTAGCTGTAATTTCATAATTTCTGAGCTGTTTCTCTTTCAGTTCTCTACTTATATTCAGTCATTTTAACTGCTTCAATTGTATTTTAGATGATTTGATAATTAATTGAAGTAAATTGTGATATATTTCAATTGCTAACTATGTATATTGTAGTTCTAAGATCTTTATATGAGCTGTCTGATATTTAATTACATCTTACTTGAAGCTTCTATATTAACTCTACAACACTGCTACTAGACTGGCCGCTGAGATCATGAATTTCATGTTTGGTCCCATTTGATCTGGTCTCATACATTTCTTGGTGTGAATCCCGCTGGGACTGGCTATCAAAAAACCATGCAAAGTGACTATATATCAGATCTTAAAATGGAACCATGACTTGAAAAAAATGAGAAAGTGGTCCCATTTGATCCCATTTAGTCCCATTCTTGGCATAAAGTTACTATTTTTAGACATTTTAAGGTTTTTTTTAGACTATTTTTAATTTTTTAAAAAGTAACACTTTTTGGTAACACTCAAATGAGATTTAAAGTCATTTAAAGCAATAAAAATAATTTAAATTGAGAAGTGGAAATCATGGTCTCATTTGGAAAATGTGACAAGAGTAGACAGTAAGTCCCACTGGGACAGTATGGGACTACTATCTAATGATAAAACCGTGTAATGGGATCAGTCGAATTGGTAATGGGACTATCAAAAAATCTGGTCCTGGTCCCAGACACGGTCACACGGTCAGTCTAACTGCTACAGTGTTATTCATCTTTTTTCTATGTAGTTGTTCTCTATTAACAGTTGTGAATTACATGAAATTCATCTATACAAGTCACATGCAGCTGTTCATATTCATGGATATCTCATTACATTCAATCTGAGGGATTAAACAGCACGTTTTTCAAGCTGAATAAGCGAGCGCAAGCGAGCGATTGAGGCTTGTTTAACATACATAATAAATCATAATATATAGTTTTTGTTCGAATCTTGCATCTTTGTAGCAGTTACTGTACATACATACATACATACATACATACATACATACATACATATATATATATATATATATATAACATAGCTTGGTTGAACTCAAAAATGAATCCCTCTCTGCACATCGATTGAAAAGGAACAAACAAAAAACAGTCTAACTGCAAACACCCAAAGAAACCCAAGAACAACCAAACCCCAAGGGTTGGTTAACAATAATAATAAACAATAACATTCCGAATGCAACCCATCGCGCACGGTATTACCTATGATTGACTTTTCCCTGCCCGCTCCCCCGTTCCTCTGCTTCCTCTCCTCTCGGCGCCGTTTCCATTCCTTCCAATTTACCCCATATTTATCTCTGAAGACCCATGGATGGACCCATGGTACGTACGTACAACGCACGAAAAAGAATTCAAGTTCCAACAGGACAGGACAGTTGAACAAAAAGAACCAGAAAAACGCAGAGCCTAGGCCCCGCCTCTCCCCTCTCTCCTCCCCCATACCACACCATACCATACCATACCATACCATACATACAGCGCGCCCCCATATTATTTCCATTCTTATTATTATTCCAATGCACTCCAACAGCCAAGAAGACAAGAACCGCCCCAATGACGCAACGCAATAGCTCCTCTCGCCGTCTTGGCCAGCCCCCGTTCTTTATTTTATTAAATGTTCTTTATTATTCAACATTCAACACATTGACAATTTCCATTTCCATTTTCATTTTCATTTACCCTCGAACCCCCGACCAAAACCGAACAAACTTTGTGCTACTTGCTAGTTAACTTACTTGCTTGCTTGCTTGGAAGCTGGAGGTTTCCATCGAGTTCGGGGGAAGAAGTCGGAATTATGCTTTTTTGTTGCCAACACTACGGAGTAACTCCGTAGTAACTAGTTAACTATGCGTAGTAGCTAGGTAGTAGTAAACTAACCTAACGGGCCGTAGTTTAAATCTTTATTTTATTCATTATTATTAACTATTATAGTTAGTTAACCTATTAGCCACGCGTTCACACCGACTTTCCATCATCATCATTATTTAATATTTAAACGTTGTAACGCCTTTTTCCCCTCCTCCTCTCCTGAAAAGAAATCACTAACTAATAATAATAATATAACAATAATGCTACGTACGTAGGTACGGGCTGCTGTCTGGTGTCTCCCAGTCCAGTCCAGTCCAGTTCAGTCCAGTCCAGTCCAGTCTAGTTCAGTTCAGTTCAGTGTGGGGAGGGACTGAACCCTCGTTTTTTAATTAACTCATTCATTCATTGGCTGTGGGAGAAAAAAAAAAAAAAAAAGCCGAGGGATTAATTAATTAATTGGGAGAAAGAAAACAGAGTAGAGATATGTATGATATTATACGGAGTACTCTCTATACAATAATAATAATTAAAATGGATCTTCTCTTATATTTGATCATACACTTTAATAATAGTGAACTTACTCTAGAACGAAACCTGGGTGTTGTTCTTTTTTCCTTCCTTTTTTTCTTAGCAAACAGTCAGGGTTCGAGAGCCATGGGCCTGGGTTCTTTAAGTGCTTACTCTGTTATGTGTTTTTTTTTTTTTTTTTTTTTTTTTTTGAGTTCAGATTTTTGCCGCTGTGGATGAATGAAAAGGTGAGGAGTGTTTGCAGGAGCGAAGATTTAAACGGGGTAAAAAGAATAGAAGAAATTCGATAGTTAAACCGTAGATAAAATAGAGCCTGCAAGACGGATGAATGATGACGAGGATAACAAGAAGAAGAAGGATAGCATAGCAATTATCATAGAATGTAATATTTAATAGTTCAGTTAATAACTAGTTACTGGAATCAAGGCTCAAGCCGTCGTCGTCCGTAACTCCTAACTACAGACACAGACAAACAAACAGACAGACAGACAGACAGAGAGCAAGTTGTAACCCAGCAGCAACCAGCGTCGTCGATCCCGCCCATGAATCCATGAATCCATGAATCCATCCTTTTTTTGATTCTCTTCTTGTCTTGTCTGGATCCTAGATGCGCGCTTGCGGGTCGGTCGCTGTCGACGCGCTGATAGAGAGTATATTCTTCTCTTCCTTCCTGCTCTCCCCTCTTTCTCCCTTCTTTCTCTCTCTCTCTCTTCTCTCTCTCGCAGCCCCCTCACTCTCGACAAGAGTATTTTTCTCTTCATATCTCCATATAACTATATATGGATTACCATTGACAGCCAGACAGCCAGCCAAACCAACCACCACCACCACCACCACCACCATCTGTCGGCGAATAGATAGATGATAACAACAGGCCATTAACCAACCGCCCATCGTCCCATTGATTAGTCCAGTCCCCCATTCAAATCGCACTCGATTCTTCTCTTCTGGCAACAACGACAACTCATAGATAGATAGATATATACATCTAACCCGATCCCGATCCCGATCCCAATTGTCTTATCTACCGGGAATGGGAATGTGTCCTTGATCATCATCTTCGAATATCCCATATCCCCCACCCCTCCTCCCGTCCTCCCCCCGGGCAGCACATACACCCGCAGAGAGAGGAAGGATAATATATGTATATATGTATATATATATATATATATAGAGAGGGAGAGAGAGACAAGGCGCAGGACGCAGCAGTGAAAAAAAAAAAAAAAAAAAAAAAAAAACACCGTGCTTATCCGTGTAAGTTTTTGTTCAACCGCTATCTATTATTCTACTGCACTATGAGCCCGAACTCGACTCGCTGGTTTACGGGTCTCTCGCGTGCTTTTTCCACTCTCTCTCTCTTTTTTCTTTTTTTTTTTTTTTTTTTTTTTTTTTTTTTTTTACATGGCTTATGCCGTTTGACTTTTTCGCCGTTACCGCAACGCAACCCTGTCCAGCCAGCAGAGAACGAGAAAAAAAAAAAAAAAAGGCTTTGCTAATCCAGCAGCGTGTGGCATTTTCGTTTCTTTTTTATTCGCAACACATTTTCCTTCTCCCGCCAGAACAACCTATTATTAATTAACTACTGCATTGGGGGATTATTCATCCATTCCAGCAGCGTCTTAAGTTATTATTATTATTATTATTATTGTTGTTGTTGATTGATCAACAAGTTAGTTATAGTTCTGTTCGACGTCATCGGGCCCGGTCTTTCTGCGGTTCCAGCTTTTTGGCTTTTCTGGAATTTTTTGGGTTTTTCGCTGGTCTCTCTTCTCTTCTCTTCTATCTTCTCTCTATCTTCTCTCTTCTTTTTTTTTTCTTTTTTTGACTCTCTGGCTCCTATTAAACTCAACTCGTTTAGACTTCCCTCGTTGCCGCACCCTGGGGTTTCTGCTTCTTTGTGGGTTATTAGTTAATTCTCCCCTCAATTCTATTTTATCCATCTCCTTCCCATATTCTTTGCCATCTTACTACTCTACCTACCTACCCTACCTCAAGGACAAAACCGCTCTGCCTTTGTTCCTGTTGGTTTTTGTCCGCGCTCAATCCCGGCTTACTGACTTACTGGCTGAGTACTGTACTGACTCGACTGAAGTTGACTCCCCACAGAAAGGTCTCGGTGTTCCCTTCACACTCCCAGCTACGTCATTTCTGCGGGCCCTTGCTCCCCTTATCCGCTCACAACGCTCGCCCACAACTTGCAACCCGGACGCCCCCCTCCCCCCCCCCTCCCCACTCGAACCTCTACTCTCCTCCCAGCTAGCTACATGGTACAAGACTACAAACCCTCGCTACCCCTCGCCCCCGCAACCACACACCACTTGAATTCTAATAATAGCCCATATACCAACCAACCGCCCACCAGTTTTTTCCCCAGCTTGTGGTTGTGGAATGTGGCTATAGTCCCCACCCAAAAAAGCCCGCGTCGCGATTAGAGCTTATTCTCTCCTGCTGCATGTGCCTGTGTGGCGTGCGCCTTTTTGTCAGCTCTACTCCGTACCTCCTCCTCGTAGCCGTTAATTGATATATATTATCAACCGCCCGTTGGCACGTCGATGCTATTCACGCTTGCCACCGTACGCCGACCTACGTCAGATCTTGCGTTGTGATCACCCGCTATTGCTGCTGTTGTCGTTGTTGTCCTCCCCCGGCAAACCATGCTCTCTTTAATATCGAACCTTACTGGAGCATGGCGTTCGCTTATCGTCAGGAACAACTTCGTTATTTGACATTGACACCTCTTTGAAACAATTGGAACAAATCAAGTTTTATCATAGTATTATATACACTATACGCTATACGCTATACGCTATACCATACCCATCTACTAAAGAGAGGCAGAAACTTTCGCTCTGTCCAATTCTCTCTCTCTCTCTCTCTCTCTCTCTCTTCTTTTCTTTTCTTTTCTTTTTCTTTTTTTTTTTTTTTTTTCTTTCGCCGAGAAACAATCGGAATCTGAAATCCCCTTTCTTGCAAAATATGTCGGCAACCACGACGTTGCCCTCTCCACAAGCTTGGAGCCCCAGCATTACGGCCGCCGCTGTGTCGACTACCCCGTTGGGAATGCCACCGCGGACTCCCGCATCTGTCGGCCAAATGACCGCTCCTATCCTGGGCTCTGGAGCCACCCTCTCCCCGCGGATCTCGCGCGATTCGTCCAACAGCTACTTCGGCATCGTCGATTTCACATCCACTAACCCATCCAGTTCAACACCAGGAATACATGCGCGCAAGACCTGGAATTTACCGGCGGTCTCGCCAGGACCTGGTGGGAAAAATGGGAATCGCCACTCGACTGGATACAACTTCGAATTCGAAGCATTTAGGAAACAATCAGAATCAGCTGGGTTTGTTGCCGGCCATAGAATCTCGTCTAGTTTCGAGAAGCAAACGCAAGCCCTTCGAGATAGAGATCGCAAGGCTGAGGAGAGGCGCGAGATGCGCACGCCTGCTTCGCCACTCCCAGTCGAACCCTCGTGGGCTATACCGAGGTACGATGATAAGGCCAGCTACATGAGCATCGATCCACAGTCGAGTAGCTCAATAGGAGAAATTAAGTCGGCTACTGCCTTTGTGAAGCCGATGGTCCCATCGACTATGTCGAGCCCAGCTTCAACCATACCACAGCTAAGGACTCCACTTGGTTCTGAGGGGCCTATTGGCCTTCCCTCCCGTATCGTGCTGCCCCCGCACGTCTCACGCCATTCCTTTCCTGTCAGTAAAGCTCGCACTCTTCAACGGTCTGAGACTTCCCCAGCCAGTGTCGATCAGGGCAACGTCCAACTCATCCCGCCTAGCCGTTGTGCAGAATTATCCAAGTCATTATCAGACACCATTTTGCTGTTAGATGTTCGACCATACCCGCAGTTTACCCTGGCAAGGATAAAAGGTGCCTTGAATTTGTGCATACCCACGACGCTGTTAAAACGACCGTCTTTCAACCTGAAAAAATTGGAGGATACCTTTGCCGGCGAAGAAGAAAAGAAAAGGTTTGCGCGCTGGCAGCAATGTACGCGAATTATTGTCTACGATTCGTCTACGGTACACATGAAGGACGCGTCTAGTTTGATAAACGTATTAAAAAAGTTCACCAACGAAGGGTGGAAAGGCGAGACATCGATACTGCGTGGTGGATTTACGCAATTCGCTGCCGAGTTTCCAGACCTCGTTGAATCAAATGAGAACAATGAACCTGCCAACTTCGCAGGCCACCCGCGGTCAATCAGTCTTGTGCTGCCAAACAAACCTGGCATAGCGGGCGGTTGCAGCATCCCGAAATGCAGTACAACTACCCATCCATTCTTCTCAAACATTCGGCAAAATATGGATTTGATAGGGGGCGTCGGGCAAATTCCTATCAAATTGCCGCGATCAATGTCTGCGCAATCTCGACAGAAGTTGCCCCGGTGGCTCGCGCAGGCTACCGATGTTCATGACAAGGGCAAGCGGGTTTCCGATAGATTTTTGCAGATTGAGAAGGCGGAACAAAGCCGCATGCAGGAAGCCTTGAGTGGTAATGTATCATATGGTTCGCCTGGGTCGGGGAGTCCAACGAAGGTGTTCCGTATAGCGGGACTGGAACAGGGAGCGAAGAATCGGTATAACAATATCTATCCGTACGATCACTCGAGAGTTCGGCTACAAGGTGTACCTAGAGGTGCTTGCGACTACGTAAATGCGAGTTTCATTCAGTCCTCTCACTCGAACAAAAAATATATTGCCACCCAAGCGCCAATACCTGCTACGTTCAATGTAAGTGTGGGAAAAAAAAAAATATGTCTCCGCTTTCCCGCTTTCCCGTGGATGCTAACAAGTTTTAACTTTTTGTAGGACTTCTGGCGTGTCATATGGGAACAGGATATCCGAGTGATTGTCATGTTAACTGCAGAATCAGAAGGTCCTCAACTGAAATGCCATCCATACTGGAAAGCAGCAGACTACGGACCCATAAACCTGAAATTATTCTCGGAACAACAAATCCCACTCCTTCCTCCTCCTTCCCCCCAAAACACGCAACAGCAACAACAAAGCCGATCCAGTGGCCAACGGCGAGCCACCAACCCACTCACACAATTCGAAAAGCTCGACGCAAAAAAGAACTCGCAGACCACCCCTGGCGCTGGCGCCAATGATAACACCCCCTACGTCACTATCCGCCGCCTTACACTCTCTCACTCCGCCTACCCCTTCCAACCCATCCGCGAAATCACGCAACTGCAATACTCCAACTGGCCCGATTTCGGCACACCCGCCGAACCCGCACATCTAGTCAGGCTGATCGAGGAGGTGAATCGGATTTCGCGGGCCACGAACGGGCGCGTGGCCGAGACTAGCAGTAGTAGTAGCGGGGCGGGGGAGACGACGACGCTAGACCCGGAGGCTGAGGGCCAGAGGCGGATATTGGTCCACTGCAGCGCTGGCTGCGGGCGGACGGGGACGTACTGTACCGTCGATAGTGTTGTGGATATGCTGAAGAGGCAGCGGCGGGTGGCATTGGCGGACCGGAAGAAACAGGCGGAGGGCTCGGGTGGGGGCCATGCTGCTGGTGGTGATGGCGATAGTGCTGGTAATAATAGCAGTGGTGGTGTCGTTGGTGGAGAAGATTGGCTCCGCCGCGATGATATCGACCTGGTCGCAGCTACGGTTGAGGATTTCAGGTTACAGAGACTCAGTATGGTGCAGAGTCTTAAGCAGCTTGTGCTGTGTTATGAGAGTGTGTTGGAGTGGATTGCGCTGCATGAGACGGAGCTTGGGATTGGGGACGGCGAGGGGGCGGTTCAGAGTGGGAGTGGAAGTGAAACGGGCAGAGCCGATTGGGAAGTGATAGAAATGGAGACTGGGCTTCGGACGAGTTAAGCTTATATATATACGTAGTAAGCTAGAGATAAAAGGATGAAAAACTCGGGTGAATTTAAAGAAGAGAGCGAGTGTGTATATTATATTACTATGTTTTTTTCTGTTCTTCAATGTGAAATAACTACGTGTTTTATTATTATTATTATTATTATCATCATTTTAGATAGTATTTCTGTATAATTATATATTAATGTCTTATTTAGTATTGTCATAGACATAGAATAAAAACCGCCCAGTCACATGATCACCTCGATATCTTCCTTTCATAGTAGTGTGTACTGTAAGGAGTACATGTACATACATACATACATAACCAGCTGCGAAGACATCCAAATATCAGCAATCTGACGCCCGCCCGAGATGGCCTCGCAAGCTATGACCCCAACTATCCATTGCCACCTGCACGCAGACCCGCTTCCATGTCCGCGAAGACCAAGATTCCAATTCAACGGGAGGCAAGCAACCCCCCCCACCCACCCCCAAGCTACTTAATTAATTAAATGCTGGCGATGACTGACTGACCTCCCTCTCAAGACCACAAAGTATATAGATATAAATAAGCTATAGACAGCTAATGATGCATACACTGCTGTGCACAACAGCTACAGGTTGACAGGTTGACAGGGTGACATCCAAGGCCTCGCTGTCGCCATCATTGCTTCATCTGGCCGCCACGCGCGCCCGGTGTGGCTGCGTGCTGCGTGCTGCGTGCTGCTGGGAGGGTTATTAACGAGCCCGCTAGACTCCGGGGGGGGAAGTCCAGGGGCTAGGAGCGATGGGGTTGAGATATTTTGTCGGGTGCTGCTTTGCGGCTGAAGCGTGGTGTCTGTGTCTGTTATATGGGGGGGGCTTGTGGGGAGTGGGGAGGAATGGGACGGACGGGCAAGTCGAGTTAGTAGTTTGGTGGTTTTTCTTAATACAATATATATATATATATATATATATATATTTCATCCGTGTTGTTTCTTTCAAGATACTTTACATGTATGGTTGGTATGGCATCACCCATGTTCGCTTCTTCTGGCCACAGACACACATACACACATACACACACCACATGCCAATGGAGCCGAGGGGCTTGATGATTGACTGACCTTGGTCTGGTTATATGCGCGAAGCGATTCTGCTTGCCATGGCTGAAAAACTTATCCCTGGCATCCCGGATACCATCCGGATATATCTGCCCTCTAGCAAATAGAGAGGATGGTGGTCAGGATGTATCTGCTAAGTCTGGCGCATTTGGAACTACCAGCCATGATTGGGTGCCCATGGCACAAAGACTGTTTTACAAGCAGTCATTCAAAGTGATGGGTTGAGAAGTGATGTGGAGAGGAAGATTAATGGTATGTTCATGTACCTACCCGTGCGCGATTTTTACGTAAAGAGTCACGCAGGGATTGATTGAATCCCCTTCCAATTTGGTAGGCTACAGCGCTAATTTGAGCTTAAAATGTATCTTTCATTTTGAAATTAAAGTACTGTCTGTCGCATGCTTTGGAAGAGGCAGAAGACCCGTGGGAACCCGTGCAACGCAATCCGACAGCTTCGCCATGAACAGCTCGAGCGGGATCTGTTTCTTGCGCGAAAGAATGCAAGTTTGAAAAGTGGCAGTCGAGGGATGCAGGCGAGGAAATATCTGAAAGCGGTCGAAGATAAGGTTGCTGAATCCGCTAGAAACCTTGTACGTGGGCAGTTGGCCTCCTGGGATCTTTCTATTATATGATGATGAATAGATGAAGGAATAGATTGACTCAGAAGAAGCCAGGCTAGAGCGGAATCGGGAAGCAAGCGAGCCTTCCGGAATTCAGGAAGAAACACAGGAAGCTGTAGATCTCCTGGACAGATTACAATGTCAATATGAAGCAGTATGTTGATTGTAGAAGGCCAGTATTTTTGGCAGGTGATGTTAACTACGGACCATCCGCAGATGAAAATCACAGATATTGAGGCAGAGGCACGTCGTCGGGTTCTTCTAGGCCTCGGGTTTAAAGAATCCTCCTTTGAGTAGCCATTCGAGTCACTCTCTGGCGGTTGGCGGATGCGTTGCATGCTTGCCGGAAATTTGATCCAGAAAGCGGATATTTTGATTCTTGATGAACCTACCAATTTTCTCGATTTGTTGGGAATCGTCTGGCTGGAAAATTATCTCGCCCATCTACGGACAGTAGATGACGATAGGACTGTGGTGCTCGTGTCTCATGATCGAGATTTCCTCAACAATATGTGCGAGGAAACCATTGTCCTGAAAGATCAGACCCTTTCATACTTCAGGGGAAATCTTTCGGCATACGAGCAGGATTTAGGAGCTCAGAAACTTTACTGGGGCCGTATGAAAGAAGCGCAGGATTGCCAAGTCGCGCACATGGAAGCGACCATTCGGGACAATATCAAACTGGGCAAGAAGACTAGCGTTGACAACAAACTTCGAATGGCGAAATCTCGCCAGAAGAAAGTGGATGAAAGGATGGGTGTGCAGGTGAGCGGCAAGGGGACAAGATTTAAACTGAATCGTGACCGCGTGGGGTTTCATGATTCCATGAGAGATGAAATAGATGTTCCACAAGATGAAAAGGGGGTGTCGATTAGTATTCCAAATCCACAGCAACTGAGATCCCCGGGACCTCTAGTCTCATTGGAATCTATCCATTTCCGTTACAAGCCCCGGGGTGACCTTATCCTTAATGGTTATCGACCTGGTAATCCACATGGGAGACCGAGTTGGAATCATAGGCCTAAACGGGAGTGGGAAAACGACCCTACTCAAGGTCCTTGTGGGATCAATGCGACAGTCGCAGGGCACCGTGACTCGCCATCCTAGAGCAACTATCGGATACTATTCGCAACACTCGACGGATGAACTCAAAGCAATTGGTCGAACTGAACCGGTGCTAACTGCGCTTTCATTATTGTCCCGGGACGCTAACAGGAGCCCTGGGGAGGGTGAAGTGCGTGGATTATTGAGTTCACTAGGCCTGGCAGGAAGGACCGCATCAGATGTCCCTATCACACAGCTATCAGGAGGGCAGCTGGTTAGTATGTTCCTTTCATTTCAAGTTCCGAGCTCAGCCCTGGTGCCAAACCAGATTATTTCTCATAAACCTTTGTTTATACGGGTACGCCTAGCACTGGCCAGGATACTCTGGAATCTGCCACACCTATTAGTCCTGGATGAGATCACCACGCATCTTAATTTCTACACTGTTATCGCACTAGTGGAAGACCTTTCATCTTTCAATGGTGCTATACTCATCGTTTCCCACGATCGATACTTGATCCGGGGCGTTGTTGAGGGGAAGCGAAACGCGGCGGGGCAAGATAGAGATGCGAATATGACTATGAAGCCAGACGATGACGATTTGGGGCGGCACGATGTGTACGTTTTAAGGCGAGGGAAGCTGCATCGACAGGATAATGGCGTGGAACAGTTTGAGAAGAGTCTGCAGAAGCAGGTACAAAAGATGCTCACAGAGAGTTAATGCAGATCTAAAGGAACATTCTTTTATGAAATACCTCGCTGGGTAATAGTTTTCTGTAAGTTTTTTTGTTCATCTGATTTTCTCCTTTAATAATATTAAGAAGTATTTATAAGAGCTTATATAGAAGCTGGATACTTTAAAATATCAGCTTACAGATATGGGAAAGTTGATAGTAGACTTACAATATCAGAAGAGAAGGATTTCAGCAAAACTTACGCATTTAGAACGTCTCTGATAGGCACATAACTTGCAAGAGAGCGCAAATTCCAGAGGCAGTTAAGGCTTATGACCCCCTTTGTCACCATACTTGTGGGGCTGGCTAATCGTAGCAGTAAGGCCCAAAAAATACACCATTCGAGTCTCATGAATGAAGGTCCAGCTCCATCCTCTTTTCATCGCTGAAAGTTCAAGTCGGAATGGTGGATTTTTGTGGAAGAGACAGGTTGGATACATCCGAACTGTTCATCAGCCCAGGCGTCGCACTCGTTGTCGTCCTCATCGTCCGCTGCATAGGTTTCCTCTCGGGGTTCTGAGTACCGGTCACTAATTCAAGTAATAGACATTTGAATGAGGTGTGCCGGACTCTAATTTATCTGAAGTGGGCAACCTCCTTGCTTCTCACAGCTTTCAACCTGGAGGAATCTCAAGGATGCACACTAAATTCCGTGGTTGCGTTAGATGCTGGGGGATTAGCATTTTGATATGGCTCAATCAATATACATCTGATACCACTCTACTCCTTTCCTTAGATGATTGTCAAGAGGTGGTTTTGTCTGTTGACTTGCAATAAAAAACCCTGATCTCAAAGATACAGTCATATCTTATTTTCTTGATCTGCAGGCTTTTGGCTCTACTGCATCAAAATCTAATTGAGCATGATTTGGTCAGTGTTCCTTGGAACTAGTTATCTTCTCAAGGCTATCAGAAGGTAAAGATGAGGAGCAGGAGTCAGAAGAACATTTTCAACATTGGGTTGAGCAAGCACTCTCTTATGTGCGCGGGTGGGATTGGAAGAAGCCTCAGGAGCTGAGGTACCTGGAGATTACTGAGAGCCTTATTCGAGACTGCAGCCAGGTCACAACAATAAATAACAGACGGCAAATGATCATGATGAACGATTTAAAAACGTAAGCTATGTTTTTTATATAATATTATGTATCAGTATTCGTTTTTTAAAAATTAAACCAGTGATGTACTGTACATTATTTTTGTTAGAGTAGGTAAGCTAGAGTATGGTGTGTAGATCTTCTATATCTCGTATGATCGTATGATATGCACGTATATACGGAGTATACATAGTGAACTCTCCGTATAAAGTTAATAAAAATACCAATTACATGACACATTTATATTTGCTTATTCCCTGATTCAAAGTTGTTCTTTGATTGTTTTTATTTGAATACACTGAGATTTAAATAGTAGTGTGGTGTTGAGCTTGCCTGCGGAAGCTCACACTGCCAATGCCTTGTTTTGGTGCCCTGGTTCCTGTTACAAAATTTTAATCCCACGCGCAGGAAGCCTTGACATTCCCATAACTTTTGCCTTAATGTCAAGGACTCAGGGTCGAGCGCAGCAGTGACACTTGCCCTATTACTGCTTGATTAGTTTATTCATCCTCATTTTTTGGATACCCAGTAATGGGACAGGTAAGAAGCGTGAAGCCCAGCCCCAATGTTCGCAGTTTAGAAGTAGCGCGTTGCGCTTAGGTACCTTGTTTACTTCCGCTGCTGCCGCTATTCTTCTGCTGTTGCAATGGTTGGTGCGATGAATGGGTTAGTGAACATGCTCAACAAGATGAGAACATGTCCGGCTCTGTACCGGCCTTGCGTGGTGCTGGGCGCGGGTTTGGCGCAAAGGGAAGTGAAAAGCATCTAGGTTGCATTCGGCATCAACCATCTGTGGTTCCGGGCATGACGGTTTTGAAAATGTAGGGAACATGAGTTTATGCTCCGGTTTGCTCTCGTTCTCTGGCTCGGAGGCAGTCTCGAGTGGTTTTTCATGGTTCCACAACTGGGAACATTCATCATTCAATTTATCATTCCAGAAGCACTGCTCAATCAAGCCATTGCTTCTTCATGATGTCCTCTGTTAATCCAATGGGTATCCTGGTCCATTTGTGAGCACTTTTAGAATCCGATCAGGCATCATCCTCAATCCAGGGAGAAAAAATAGATTGTAAGAAAGCGCTGCTGTATAAGCTACCCTATGAAGCGAAATCGCTGTTCTCTATGTTATTGCTGCTGGTTGAGGATAGGACCTGAAATATGAGATGGTGAACTGTGCAATTCATGAAAGTTGTGAGATCGTGCGGAATCACTGAATTCCATTTGTTTGGGCAGGTTGACGAGGGTTCACATCGAGTTCCAGTAGCACTCTATGTGTTCTAGCAAACCCAATTGCCTTGAAGAGCGCCTGAACAAAGGTCATTTGACGAGTAGTAGTAGTTTTGACCAAACAGAGGTCAGAAAGAGACGTTGTTGGTCGCTTGACGTAGATGAAGGAAGGATAGAGTCGATAAATAGCTTCATAGGGGTGAGATAGATGGGAAGATTCTTTTCAATCTGGATATGGGTTGACGTTTCAAAAAGGTGCGACTTGAACGGATGGTTCGTCCGGGTATTCCAGAAGGCATTATTTTGCCTTTCTGCCCCGTGTCTCCACGTCTCGCACGATCTCGAGTTCCTTGAGAGAACACTTCAGGAGAGCGTCACCAGAACACCTCCTCGTCCCCCCCAATTTCCCTCCACACCAATGGCGTGCAGACGGGGACTGCGAACGTAGGCGCCGGATTGATATATTCGACCTTGGAGAGATGATGTCTGTCGCCAGGTGTACAGCGTACTCCGTAGTTATCTCGTCAAGGCAAGCACGTTCATTGGGTCCAGCGCGTAAAGGTTTTTCCGGGGCCCTTCCGACCAGGCACCAGCCCGTATTTGGTTGGCTGTTAACAGTACATCACATGTTGCTGCTGATTGTGTCTATATATCTGGGCTTCTATTCTCCGCCAGACCGAGTGAAGTATTTCTTGTTCATTTCCTGTATCTATCTGCCAGTCACCCAGACCTTTTTCCGCAAGGTCTATATTTACATGCGCGTAAGCGGACAAGAGGGGGTCAAGTAGTCCAGTGAACTGCGGCCCTTAAAAGAAATACAATCACTTACCGTCTCCTCAACCCGCTAGCTCTGTTTTCTATTCATTCATCTCCAGCTTCTTAAATATTTCCCTTGGATTTTCATGCCTCTTTTCTCTCTTATCAGTTTGTTCCATTTTGTAAAAGTGGAAAAGCAACATTATCAGCTCCTCTATCACCTTGTATTGTGCACCACCCCCTGAATTGTCCCCAACCTTGTATTGCACCAAGGCAAGCTAAAAATGCACCTTCTAAACTTGCCCCCGGAACTCTTACAATCCATCTTCGACTATTCCTCCGTCACCAACTGTCTCCAGGCAGCTTACTCCTGCCACACGCTCTTTGCAGTTCTCTCAAGTTATCGGAAGGGGCTTTTGTACCAACTGTCCCAACTGCCCTCTCCTCTCAGCACCCTCAGTACCATCAACGTTACCGCCAGCAGTAGTGGTAGCAATAGCGGCAATGACCTCGCTACTAAAAGCACAGCAGAGCTCTTCCTCCTGCTCCGGAGACGAGCAGCCCAGCAGCTCCGCGGGGCCAATTTCCACGCCAACCAAAGCGTATATACGTTTGGTGAGGACATTCCCAAAATTGACACCCTAGCATCTGCCATAGGGCCCAACCACAGAGATCCGAATGTAGCGTTAGTGCAGAAGGGTGTACCAAAGGTTTTCCTGTATTTTGTTTCTGGGGGTCAAATGCTACCTCGGGGTGTGCTGGAGCCCATCTTCGTATGTCCAGGGAATGTGGAGGTGATTAAGGTAATTTTTGGCGAAGAAGGGAATATGATTTCTGTATTGCAGAGATTTACGCCTTTTCCGGGGGCAAAGCAGGGAGAGAAGGGGACGCAGGGGGTTGCCGAAAATCGAACGGGCAATGGGGATGGGAAGACGACAAGATATAAACACCCCTTTGAAGAGGAGGCGATGAGGCCGTACCAGGAAGAAAGCACGCAGCTCGTGCATTACCATCGCAGCAAGCCGGGGTCGAGATATTCGCGCGTGACGATTTCTGCGTTTCCGGGTCAAGATGAGTATCGCCCGTTGGCGATTGCTGTAGATGATCAGCACTTGGTGGCTATATCATGGCAGCACAAGCAGGATCTTGACAGGCGCATGATTATTCTCCATGCAACGCATGGAGATGAGACTGCAGAGGACATGGAACTCGCATGTAAGTGCTTAAAGATGAAATTTTGGAGGGGTCGACCCACCCCCCTTCTATAAATCCTCTTTTTTTTTTTTTTTTTTTTTTTTTTTTACAGGTAAATCATTAACATATCTTTCGCAGACCAAGTCTACAACGACAATATAATCATCGACGAAGATGGAACCATGCCCTACGACAACCGCTACCAACGGCCGCGAAACGTAGGGCGTATCGAACCCATAATTCAAATGGCCTTCAACGACAACGCCACCCAGCTACTCTACTACCACCCTTCCTCAACCATATACGGCCACTTCCAACGCATCGAGGTGGAAGCCGGCAGCATGACAAACACAAGCGGCTTCCTCCGTAACTCGTGCTGGGTAAAATACTACGACACCAACATCGACGACGTGCAAGAAGACGACCTAAAATTCACCATCGCCATCCCCTTCTTCAGCACGCATGAGACGCGCTCCCACGACCCGACCCGTGAGCTCTGCCACTGGAAATACCTAGCCCTCGGCACCGCGATAGACAAACACGGCGAACTCGTCGCATGCATCCTCATGTCAGAAGCGCAATGCCGCGCCTCCCACTGCTTGCACATCGAGAACCTCGACCGTGGCCGGCGCTTTGACAACTGGCGCGTCGTTGCGCGGCTGGCCGGGTATAGCACAAGCATGAACTCGTTGCCGGGAATCGTGGCAGCATCACCACGTGCGACGCGTCTGGCGATTGCGAATTGGAAGACCATTACGGTGTGGCCTTTGGATCCGCGGGCGATTATTGAGCGGAATGCGGATGGTGTGTACCCTGAGAGCATGATTGATGTCGGGGTCACGGGTGCGGTGTTGTTAGAGCCCGTGGTGTTGGAGAGCGAGGCCGTGTGTTTCAGGTTGCGGTTCGGGGAGACGGAGGACGAGATTGTTTCATTGACAGATCGCGGGGTTATGAGGTGGGAAATTAGGGCGGGGGCAGTGGGGAGGAAGGAAGGGGTTGTTTTGAAGATTCCGAATGGTGCTGTGGGGAATGAGGAGGACAGCGACGAAGAGGGTGAGGACGGGAAGAGGGCGAAGAGGAGGAAGAGGGAGGGGCCGGGATCCGACGTGGACATGGATGAGGAGGGGATCTTTCTGTATGAAGGTGATGGAGAGGCGGAGAATGAGGATGAGATGGGTGACGAAAGGGATGAGGAGATGCAAGATGATGATACCGATAATGAGATGGATGTGCAATAATGCCCCTGAAATGGAACGGGGCGTCATACGTTGGTACTTGAGGATGAGCGGAAACTTGGAAAAAGGCGGAGGATTGCTGCGTTTGCGCCTTTTTTTAAATTTTTAAATTTTAATTTGCGCTGTTTTCCAGGATTTAGGCCATTTATCAAGTCAATTTTTTCACGAAGTTGATTGTTAGAGCCTGGTAAGGATGACATTCTTCACGAAGCGTGTTCGTTTTCAGTGCAACATCGCATGCCGATATATGTATATCTCGAGAGAGCGTAGATCACGAGAATCTGTAAATTACGCTATGCATATTTAGAAGAAAGAACAGTAAACGCAGATTATGGGTGTGCGGAGTTTTCAAGATTCTTTGCCGAGATACGCAACCAGAAAATCCATATTTATCTATTAGAAGCATGATCGAATTGTACAACCACAGTGTTCATATATGTACTCCGTATGTTATATGGAAAATACTGTCACGGTGGATCATCCCATCCATCCATTAAAATCCAATCGGCAATTGTCCTCTCTCTAACTCCCCTCTGCACTTCCCGTAAGTGCCAAGAAACCAATAATCCCGAGAACCCACCAGTATCTATTTTAAATTGGACACGACGAGAAAAATTAGTAAAGCAATATCCAATGTTATCTAACATTAAACAAAAATGCACACACACACATGAAGATTAACAGAACGGATCATATGTATGTGCAGTACTTACTTCTGGAACAAGGACTTCTCGACAACTTCCTCAGGCGCAGTGCCGTCCGGACTCAATACGACGGGGCGATTGAGATGCGGGCTGGGGCTGGGGGTTGAGCGGACGAACTCGACCCTGAGAGGACCCGCTCCAGCTTCCTCCCCATTTCCCGTTCCCGGCGAAGAGGAAGACTTGCTCTTCTTCGTTGTCTTAGAGTCCGGACTGGGCGCCGGAGGCGATGCGAAAGAAGAGATGGCGGCGTGGTAGACGTGATTGTTTTGATCGAGGTGGAGGGTTAGGGTTTGCGGGGTGTTCGTGAAGAGGGCGAGGGACGAGAGGGTTCCCACCCATTGTTTGTTTGGGTCATTGCTTTTGTTATCGTCGGGATTGGCGTATAGGCCGATGCGGAGGAGGTCTGCTTGTTTGTCGATGTTCTTGTCGCCGGCGTCGTTTAGGGGTTGGGGAGGAGGGGTGTAGGAGTTGATTGTGGATTGGAGGGTGGAGGGGTCGTAGGAGATTTGCGCCAGTGGTAAGGGCTTGGAGGAGGTGGAGGAGAGCGGCCAGTAGAAGATATCGGCGGATAGGGGTGCGGCGGAGTCGGAGGCGGAAGCGGAGGAGAGGGCGGAGAGCGAGAGGAGGGAGAGGAGGGAGAGGGATGATGGGAGGTGCATTGCTAGGTTGTGTGGGACTGCCTGTGTGCAGTGTATGTAGAGATATGTATCTATTGGGATATCATACCATATAATACTTCGAGCTGTTGAGGCTAATTGAATATTTGTGATTTCCTGTCGCAATCACATTCGCTGGCAATAGTAATGTATTGAGGAAGTTGAGGCTGAGGTTGATGAGCTTGACCGGAAAGAAGCTCTATTGCCAAGCATTTGTTGACAGCTTTCTTTTTCTTTCTTTTTCTTTTTTTTCTTTTTTTCTAGATATCATCAGAATAACAAGTAACTGATACAGACCAATATGTCATCAGCATATTCAGTAATAACAGAAGAAAAAGAGAGAGAGAACAGAAGAGAGAGAGAGAAAGATCATATGACCTGACAATCTGATGTTCTACATTCATCTTTCTCTCTCTCAAGGGTTATTCAACGTGGAAGAGCGCATTTCCCGAACGGTCAAAGATGGATAGATAACACTAAAAATAAGAATAAGACCACAAGGTTTAATATCCGGCATGGATCATCTGAAGTTACTCTGAAGAGACTCTCCAAATGTGCTTTTCGACCGATAAAAGCATATAAAAGCGGAGTTTTGCATGGCCGGCCGGTCTGACTCTGGATGATAACCTCTAGACTGGACTGACGGTCTATCATAGATACACATCAAGCGGAGAAGCAGCGAAAGGAAAAAAGGCTGTTTGACGTTATCTCAGCCTCTCTTCCTCAATGTACACTGCTAAAGTAGATATACAAGATGATATGATGTTGCTGATGCAGCGTCAAGAGCTCTTACTAACTATATAAGTGCACCTACATGCAAATGTACATGTACAGGACATGTAATGTTACATTGTTCAAAACATAAGAGTTAACTATATGATGAACAGCATTACTGTTCAATGAAGACCCCCTCTCTTCATGACTTCGAAATTAGAGGTTAAAAAATAGTCCCAATTAGACAACACTACATGTTTTGCCTACGTTACCACATCTAGGTACTTACACGCGCTATATAGTTATACAGAATCATGCCCAAAAGGACGGGGAACACGATGGGAATAGAAATGAACATGGACGCACAAGGTGGAAGAAATACTGAGGACGGCGAAAAAGGAGTTTAAAAGGAATTTGGTGTAGGTTACCCACTGGGCGTGTGAATCCATGTCAGGTGTAAAATTCCGACTCCCGTCCCGTGAATGATCCACATCCTCCATATCATAGCTCGGTTGGCGTAAGGACACTGACTCAAGCCAGGCGGGACAAGGGCATGGAGAAAGCCGGATTCCGCCATTGTTTCTTAATACTTCCCTTTCGGGAAGCTAGCCACAGGTGACAAAATGCCATGCATGATCTCCTCCCGACTCCGTCGTCCTGGTTTACCTCCCACCAACTCCAAAAAGGTAATATTTGCCACGCTAAACTACCGCATCTCCGTTGTTTTACTTGAAGAATTTCTGTAAACTAATCTCCTTGTCGTCGTGCTTGTTGAGAACCTTGGCCGTCGCCAGGTCGAAATCCTCCTGCGTAACATGTACACGGCGCTCACGCAAGGCGTACATGCCAGCCTCCGTACAGACGCCCTTGAGCTCGGCGCCGGAGCAGCCGTTCATCTTCTCGGCGATTTTCGTTAGGTTGATGCCGCGAGTTAGGTTCATAGATCTGGAGTGGATGCGTAGGATGTCTGCGCGAGCTTCGACACTGCAGTTGAATCGGAGGGTTAGTTGTGGGTATCTACATGGGGGGAGAGTACAGTGTGAAACATACGTGGGTGGTGGGAATTCAATCTTTCTGTCGATTCTCCCAGGTCGAAGGAGCGCGGGGTCGAGGATATCAAGACGATTGGTAGCCATAATTATTTTAATGTTCTTCGTAGGTTCGAACCCGTCCAGTTGATTCAGGAGTTCTAACATGGTGCGTTGGACCTCAGAGTCTCCTCCACTGCTGCCTTCCACACGACTGGATCCGATACTGTCGATCTCGTCCATGAAAATGATACTAGGAGCATGCTCGCGAGCCATAATGAACAACTCTCGGACCATTCTGCTGCCTTCGCCGATATACTTCTGTACCAACTCCGAACCACTCACCCGAATGAATTTGCAATCCGCGTGATGTGCCACTGCTCGTGCAAGTAGAGTTTTTCCGGTACCTGGGGGCCCATATAAGAGCACGCCCTTTGGCTGCGCAATGCCTAGCGACTCGAAGAGTTCTGGGTGATTGAGGCCGAGCTCGATGACTTCTTTGATTTCTTTGATTTGTTGGTCCAGGCCACCGATCATATCGTAGGTACTGTCAGGGACTTTCTCGACCATCATGAGAGAGACGAGGGGGTCAACTGATGATGGAAGCATCTTTTCGAGCTTGTATGAATCTGAGAGAAGTGACACTCGCTTCCCTACTGTGAGCTTGGAGATATCGACATTATCCGCGATATCGACAACTGGACAATATCATTAGCTGTGTTCTGGCGATTCTATTCCAGCTTGAATGGGTCAAAACTTACCATACTTCCCTTCTGGATGCACCTTGACCAGCACTTTCTTAGTACCCATAACCTTGACCACTTCACCGACGTAAGATCCCGGTTGTTGTAGCAGGCCTAGCTCTTCCCGTAGCAGCCTTACTCTCGAGTTGTAGTCGTTCCGCTGTGCTTCAAGTCGCCTCAGGACAGCTTGCCCCTGGATTATTTCGAGCTTCATGCTCTCTATCTTGTTGCGAAAGTAAGTATCGAGCGCCATGGTTGTGTATGGATCTAGGGTTGGAGGCGGGAATTGGAAGTAGAGAGGTTGCGGGTTTGGATTGCTCCTGATGGGGATTTCGGTAGATTAACGTGGCAATAGGAGGGATACGGAAACCCAGCTGTGGTGAGGGGTTTGAACTGGTATCGGACGAACAGATATGTATGGAAGCAGAATAGGATGATGGCTCCTAGCTATTAGGTAGCTATGGTGTATCGTCACTGTCTGCCGTTTGTTTCTCTCTGTTCTCATTGCTGCGAAGGGCGACTGAAGCTTTGGGGTTAAACAGTTAGCGTGTTAGTCATCATCGGGCCCGGTAGGGTAGGACCACGCGTTTTGCCCTGTTTGCTGCGTTTGCTGTGTTTGGCAGCGGTCAGGCGGCTCTGTTTTAAGCTCTCTTATTTACATCTTGAATCAAGTCAACAACTGCAGATGACTTGACCAGCAGCCAACGGACTTGGTCTGATATCTCCGCCGATTCCGCTGCTAACTAGATCACCAGCAATCTTCCTCCTGTGCTGGTGAGGAGGTTTGTGGCCTCCGTTCCTGCCGGACTGGTTAAACCCCCGGACTGGTTAAACCCCCGGACTACACCCAGATAGCTTCGTTTTAAGAGCTTTAGCTAGCCCATGTTATATCTCAGCTTTGATTATTCACTGCTACAAAAATAAGCTAGAGTAATATATTGTTCATCGATAGTTCACTTTCACCCTGATATGAAGTTTCGCCGCAATCACTCTTGGAAAAGCCCTTTCCTGCGCTGCCAGAGCTCTCCCAATTGCCCCAAAACAGACCGGTGATTCTCGCTCCATCTTTTCAACACCATGGCGTCCCCCGATGGCCAAGGTCCTCAGGATCAGCCACGGTCTACGCCAACCTCGTCGTCATCGTCGTCAACGTCGTCAACGAGTATTCCCATTATCCCAATAAGGCAAGCTTCTCAGGCGTCACCAGCTACCCCGCGGGGAGGCGCTAGGCCGGTGGAACCGCAGTCCAGGAAAACCTATGGTTAGAAAACTGTTCAGAAATTATTAATATACTTAAAAAAACTTCATTTCAATAGCTAAGATACTCTCAGGGACAATCGACTCGCAAGATACTAGTGGTCTCGAATCTCGTCCTGAAGAGACCCCTCTAACGACATACGAGCCTATCCGAGCTCCTCCCACCGCGGCGCAATCGTCGGATCGAACACCCAAAAAGCCCCCAACCCTACGCAGAACCTCTACCAAACCATATAGAGGCCAGGAATTTTCGGTAGATGATGACCCAAGGGAATATGAGGAAGACAATGCCCTTTATAGACACGCCTCCGGGAGGTCGACTGCGTCACTACGTCGAAGGGGTCCTCATATACAGCAATCTGTTCTCCAGCGTGTTGATTCGAGGGATGAAGGTTCCGATGATATATCACCGGCTGAATCCAGTGGACGCCTAGGTGGTCGGGGAGAACACTCTGCGCTCAACATGAGCGTTGACGGTGATGACGATTCTCGTAGCGATGTGAGTGATGCGGAAAGCTTCACGCTCAAGGACCGTCAACAAGCCATCAATGAGACCCATCCGTTTGGTATAAGGATTTGGAAACCTGCTCTTTACAAAAAGTTCCGGTCTGTTGAAAAGACTGCAGAGGGAGATATCCATTCAGTGCCTGGAGAGCGAGTTAGCAATTGGCTCTCCCTGACCAATTTTCTATGGTCCATCATTTTCGGTTGGTGGCTGGCACTGGCTAGCCTTCTTGGCGCCGCCGCCTGCTTCCTCTTTGGTTTTTCGCCTGATGCTCGGGCTTATGGGAAAGTGTTTTCCCACCTGTCTCTTTATCTTCTCTACCCCTTTGGATCCTTTGTCCGACTCGAATCCGATGAGAACTACGCAGACGAAGATGAAGGTGAAGGTCGGAGTATCAGCGAGTATGAGCAATGGCAGAGCGGTGACCTTGAACATGGAAGACTTTTCTTTGGCCCCGTTCCTGGCAGATCTTTGGTAGGACGCCGCAGAAACAGCCTTGACTCAGCTAGTGAACATGATAGCCTCCTGGGAAGGACAGGGAGAGGATCCCAGGATGAAAGTTCTTCAAGGAACAAAAGGCGCTTTTTCGGTCGCGGAGAGTGGACTGTTGGAAGAGTCATATTTTATACTTGGTTCTACTTCGTGGTCGGTCCGTTGATGCTTCTTGTGTCCCTTGTCTGCTGGATGATGGTTTTCTGGATCCCTATGGGCAGAGTCACTCTCATTTTATTCTACCATCTTCGACGCCACCCTCTAGCACTCTCATTCCATTCAGATTCAACCTACACTCGGTCTCCATCTCGACCCTCTTCTTCGATATTACTTTGTACCTACCGCGCCGCCGGCTATAAGTATTGGAAATATACCATTGATGGAACCAATATCTTCTTCATTAACCTTCTTGCCATCGTCCTGTTCACTATTCTAGATTATTACGTTCTGCACAGGATGCTGAACGTAAAATCAGGGATAACTCATCCGGGCTTGATATTTTCGTTGGCCCTAGTCTCCATCATCCCTCTGGCATATTTCATCGGGCAAGCTGTTGCATCCATTTCAGCTCAATCATCAATGGGATTAGGTGCTGCTGTGAATGCCTTCTTTTCGACTGTGGTCGAGGTATATCTTTATTGCATTGCTCTGACAGAAGGCAAAGCCCAGCTCGTGGAAGGGAGTATTATTGGGAGTATTTTCACGGGTATCCTCTTTCTTCCTGGACTGTCAATGTGTTTTGGTGCCATTAGACGCAAAACCCAACGGTTCAATGTTAAATCTGCCGGAGTTACGTCGACAATGCTACTATTCGCTGTTATCGCTGCATTTGGCCCTACCCTTTTTTATCAAGTTTATGGGACTGTAAGTATTTCTTTTCCACTGCCACGTCGCGCATTCCACCATTGCTTAGCGCTTACCCATTTTATGAATAGCATGAATTAAAGTGCATGTCCTGTACCACTACTGGCTTGGGGGGAGAAAGGGACTGCCGCCGGTGCTACTTCTCAGAAATACCTGAGATCCATGACAAATTTTTCCTTCAGGCTGTGCAGCCGTACTCCTGGTTTGCTGCCGTTCTGCTTTTCTTGTCCTACGTAATCGGGCTCTGGTTTACTTTGAGGACCCATGCTGCTGTTATCTGGGCTAGCGAGCCCGAGGAGAAAAAGGCTCTACACATGGCAACGCACCCACATACCCCACATCTCGTGCCACAAGAATCCAGTGGCTCCATCGGAAAGTCCAAACAGCCTACGTCCGCTAACGGGCAACAGGAAGGTCATGGAAGTACTCATCATCGAAGGGGATCTGTTCGAGATTCTCCGCTGTACACTCGCATTCTGGGTCAGTCATTGAAATATGTTGGCCTGGCACCGAGATCGAACGAGGGTAATTCGGAGCAACGTCCAAACCAATCCGGAAACGAAAATATTACTCCTCGCTGTATTCCTCCCAAGAACCATGATACCATAGGTGCAACCATGTCCCTACCTGGCCTATCGGAAGAACAGAATGAAATCTTTGTCCGTAAGGTCGCGGAGGTAGCTGCCACTGCCGCTGCTGTGGCAGTCCATGATGTTTCAGCCCGACCAAGAAGACCACCAATTGTCTCTCACACCTCTGAGCATGCCCTGAACAAACCCGTTGGCGGATCCGGCGTACTCGTCCCTGAAGATGGGGAGGAAGCCGGGCTGTTTGCTGAAGCACACGTTTCTGTGGGTGGCCACGACGCGCCAAATTGGAGCAAGTTGAAGAGCTCTGTCATTCTTCTAGGCGCCACGTTGCTATACGCGGTCATCGCTGAGATATTGGTAAATACAGTTGATAGTGTGCTGGACAACTTTGATATCGATGAGAAATTTCTGGGTATTACACTCTTTGCGCTGGTCCCGAATACTACGGAGTTCTTGGTATGTGATTCTCTTTCTCTTTCTATTTTTTTCTATGGTATTTGTGTTGAAATGGAGTGGAGAAGCAAAAACCTCTAATATCTTTGTCAAAAGAATGCCATATCATTCGCCATGAACGGAAACATAGCTCTATCGATGGAGATCGGTTCCGCATATGCCCTCCAAGTGTGCCTTCTGCAGATACCCGCAGTGGTGTTATTCAGCGCCATATACGCCCAATTCATAGACCCAAAGGAGCTCCTACAGCACTCTTTCAAGTACGTTCTATCCATTCACTTGGCGGTATTTTTTTCTTAAGGTGAGACAAAAGCACTAACCCCCTTTGTTATTTAAACACAGTCTCATATTCCCGCAATGGGACATGATCACCGTCATCCTCTGCGTCTTCCTTCTATCATACATGTACGGCGAGGGAAAGAGTAACTACTTCAAAGGTTCCATCCTGGTCCTCACATACCTGTTTGTGATTGCCGGCTTCTATCTCTCTGCCTTTAACGATATAAACGCCATGCGCGTTGATCCCGTTGATAGCTTGGCAATGGGGCAGAGTGCTGTGTTTCGGACGGTGGGCAGGGGGAAGGGAGGAAGGGCTTATTAACGATGCTATCCTTCAAGATTCGCCTCTGTCTTTCTCGAAAGGGGCTCTGATGACTGGCTTTTACCGACTAGGAATATGGGGAGGTAGAAGATTTTGGGTTAATGACTGAAATGGGTAGGTAAAGGTGTGATTTATTTTATTATTATTAATATGCGGCGATTGTGCCATGTTATGACAGTCATGGATCTTGCGAGTGATACAGTTATTGGGCATCGTTTTGATAGCTGAAATATTGTATCTACGTCATCTCCTGATACCTTGGGGCCTGCTTTTTTTTTTTTTTTTCAGCTTTTCACGTCTGTTGTCTCTGTTGCTTCTGTACACGTATGTATCACATACATGAGGTTCTGATTCTCTCCTGTGTTGCGGCTGTTTTTTTCCTGGTCATCATCTGTATACCCTATCCCGGCCGTTTTCCCCCCTTTTTCTTGTTTGGTTCTAGCTTCATAAATTAAAAACAATCCTGGCATGAGACGTGGAGTGGTAGCAAGGGAGACAGGAGAAGGAAAGGAAGAGGGAGTGAATATGAAATATATACTTATGTATTTTCCTATTAGTTTTATTTTGGCTCCATTTCATTGACGGCTCTGCCATTAGAATGAATTGGCTTTGGCAATGAATATCTATCAGCAAACTTGCTTTCTGTATTATAGTATTATAGTAAAGCAGTAGTTATTAACGATCTAGCCCCTCTGTCTTCTTCGATTGAAGGGGTTATTTTCTAGATTTCTTTCAATATAAAAGAGACTCAAGGTAGCATGCATGCATGGAAAGGGACGGAAAGAGGGGAGAAAGAAACAAAGCCAAACAGGACATCACAAGGCGCATGAAAATGGAGATATATGAAAGGTGTGGAAATCGACCACAGCCATTAACTTTTTGAATCATTCTGGATAAAGGGTGTATGGAAAGAAAAAGAGGAAGACCCTATTGGGCATCCTGTCTAAAAATTGAAATTACTTACCACCGTCACTTCAACTAACTCTTCCGTTCCCCTCCTTTCTCCACTCAGAAACCCACCTCTATCAAACTCCCCCTGATGGAAATACCCACTCAATTCTTCCCCCACCCCTCAATAACCGCATCCACATCCTTTCTATACTCTTGCTGCTTATAACACTGCTCCAAAAACACCTTGTACTTCACCTCCAGCAGCTTCTTCTCATACTCATCCGTGCTCGGTTTCACCATCTTCCCCGGCTTGCTCATCCGGTCCATGATATCCCACAAATCCTCCGTCTTGCCATTCTCATCTGCACTGGCCGCTTTGGCACCCAACATCGCCGCCCCATGACACACAGCGGCATGGACGTAGCGGGGGATAAGCACGGGCATCCCGCACGCTGACGCGATCAGTTTCATCAGGATGTCGTTCTGGCATTGGGAGCCGGACATGAAGATCGAGGTGATGCTGTGGCCGGCTTTGTTCATCGTTTCGATGATTTGCTTTGTTTGCAGCGCGATGAATTCGAGGGTTGCGTAGTAGTACAGCGCGAGGCCGCTGACGGATTTATCGCTTGAGAGGCCGATGACGGAGCCGGACATGGTGGGGTCGGCGATTGGAGAGCGGTTGCCAAAGAGGTCGCCGTAGAAGAAGAAGTGGCGGCCCAGATAGGAGATTGAGGGTGCTTGGCTGTCCGCGACCATCTCCTTGAGATGCTCGTTGAGATAATCGTAGATGTTTGTGTGATAGGATTCGGAGACGGAGAGCGCTTGGTTGAAGGCAGGATGTGTTTCGATGACATGTTTGAGCAGTTCACCTGTGGCGGATTGGCCGCCTTCGGCCATCCAAAATCCTGGGATGATGGTGTCACGGTACGGGCCCCAGACACCAGGGACGAAGACTGGGTTTGGTGACATGGCGAGATGGCAGGTTGATGTGCCCGCAACCGCAGCAAGGCGGCTAAAAGCTTGCGATCTATCGTTTTTGGCTGCATCGGAGCTCAGCTGGTCAGACCCAAGCTGAACTTTGGCACCAACGGTGCCGATCCAGCCCGCATATGCGTCAATGACACCGCTTCCTACAGCGATTCCAGCGGGCAAGCCCAGCTCTGAGGCTGCTTTGTCACAGAGAGTGCCGACGAGTTCTCCAGCAGAGAGGTATTCTCCATTCTGTATTGTGCGATTAGTTATACATCTTTGATTTCAGTATATCATGTAGGAGATGTTATTAAGTCGTTGGAGATGAGGTATACAAACTAACCTGGCCATTGACACCCCCAATGCGCTTGAAGTTATCCTCAGTCAACTCCTCCAAACCAATCTCATTCAGAAAATCAGGTTGCCACCCCTTGACGCTTCCGTCAACGCCCACAGGGACATATCCCTGCTTACAGACAACGCTACAGAAGCTCCTCTTCTCGTTGCCTGTAGCTAGATGTGTCAAGGCGTCCGTCAAATCGTAGAATTTACAACGGTCGAAGAGCTCCTTTGGCATGTTATTCTTGAGCCACAGTACCTTGGGGATCTCCATTTCAATGGACATCTTACCCCCGACATAGCGGAGCAGGTTGTGACCGGTGGCATTGATTTTCTCAGTCTCTTTGACTGGGCGATGGTCGAGCCAGAGAATGATATTGCGGTCTGTGTCGAAGTTGGGGCCTGTGACGGATACGGGTTCGTCATCATCATGGGAAAACACTGCTAGAGAGCAGGTGGCATCAAAACCAATGCCGCGGATTGAGGCTGGGTTGATATTGTGTTGGCTTATAGCGCGCTGCACTGAGATACAGATGCAGCGCCAGATATCAGTTGTAGATTGCTCCTGGATGCATTTTGTTAGCATTCGATTACACATATAGAATAACATGGAAAAGGGGGAATTATATATATAAGTAAATATAGATCTGAGGTATCTAACAAAGGAATCAAACGACCTACATAGTACCCCTGTTGTGGTTGCCACAAGCCAATATTTTCCGAAGCCAAGCCCACAATGTCGCCCTTGTTATCGATAATGCAGGCCCTAGCGCTACCGGTGCCGACATCGATGCCGATATAGTGGTCCATCTGCGGGGAGATCTCGTTTCGGGGATCCATGGAAGCTTGCCTGGACATCTGGCGCGAAGGGCGACGATATGGGAGTGAAGTCATGATGGGAGTAAGAAGGGCGGGGGGGGGGAAGAGGGGGGGTATTTCAGTCCCTGTTTTTATACGCCTGTGTGTTTTCGCGATACCTATCTACGCCGGCCCTGATCCTCGAGCAAAGCTGCACTGTAGGCTTTGCTTACGACGATGAAGAGGCAAGGCGTCCAGCAGACCTGACTTTCTTTGAAACTGGATTGGACTGGGGCTGGACCGGACTGGATCGCAGCTGTGAAGGAGCACGCGGCACGACAGGTCTAGAACGTCTCCCCCGGATTGGTCTGTCGGATGACCATCAGACAAGAGTTGTTAGTTTCTTATTCGTGTCTTTTTTTAGGAGGGGAGGCACTTATCAAAGAAGGGGATTGAATTCATGTCGGGGAATTGGGGGAGCATGTTGAGGGGAAGAAGAGGAGAGCAGGATGAGATATTCCGATATGCGATTGGCAGGCAAAGGTTCTCACATATTATACCACGAGATCTGATAGATCCAAGAACCAGACAATTTACTTGGGAATTAAATTAAATATCCCACGACCTGTGCAGCAAGGAGTAGTTGTTGCTGCTTCGTCTCCAACACGGCTATGCTTGGTATAGATGCGAGAAGATATGCGTTGTCTGGTTTGATAAAGGGGGGAGTAGTACAACAACAGGCAATCAATACTTTTTGCTTTTGCTGTTGCTTTTCACTTTCAATAAAAAGGAAGTACAATCAACTAAGTTACGAAAGATAGAAAAGGCTTTATCTATTTTATTTTACAGTGCGCTGGCTCGTACTCATCCTTACTACGCTTCGACTGACGTATTTATGTGATGAACCGGTTCGGTTCCATGTTCGCCCTGGACCGACCCAGATATGGGAAAACTAGAAAAATGGAGTTAGAAATGTACCCACATCCATCCGGCCACTCAAAGGCACCGCGGGATGCCACAAATCTCATCCAGGAACTCTGAGCTGTGGGTTCGCCGGCAAGGAATCTTGGAGCCGTGGATCATGCTATCCCAACCGAACCGCCCAGCTAAAAGCAAGAAAGGCGATGGTTGATAACCGCTGCGCTTGTGTTGGTAATCGGACTGCAGTTAAACTATATTAGTCAGTGGAGGGGGAGATGTTTGCGCGAGATATATACTCCCTATATTAAGTGCAATTCATCCTAGCGATATGGCTGTTTTGAGAACGTTGAAGACGGCCACGAAGCTCTCGAGATGAGAATGATGGTTCCCCCCACACCCACACAAGCCTAGTTGTCACCGCCCAGGACGTATAACTATATAAATACGTCAAGCCCTAACAACTCCAGAGGAACTATAGTTAGGCTATGGCAGCTCCAATAATCAAGTCATCGAGAGATCTCCAACCAAGCAGTGGAGAGCTTCATTGGCTCTGTCTCACCGCTTTTCGTCCTTCTTGAAAGCCGGGAGCTTTATTATCAGGCCGGTTAGCGCATGGATATTGATATGGGAGTGGGACTTGAGCTTTCAGACAAGCCCAATTGCTTGCTGGGCTGATATTAATAATAGGCTATCAAGTCTGCAGAATGCATGGATTCGGGAACAGTGTATTATTTCCAAATAAATATTGTTCTCATTACGTTTAACTAAATAACTCGTGGTTATACGGGGGGGTCCTTGGTGGCGTTATAACCTACCTGTGTTAGTATGTAACCACCAGTTAGTTGAATAGCTAATCTTGTTATATTTCAAAGCAACATCGCTTTGCAGTTAAACTGCCCCTAGGTTCTGAAAATGGCGAATCTTACTCAAATCGATTGCGATATCATTGCAAAACACCTTTTTATAAAGCTCTCTAGATTCTCTATGAGATATTCTTGAAGATGCAGAGCATTCTTACAGCCCGCATCTAACCTCCTATGATGGTTCTGTCGATATTCCTAACTCAGGTTTGTCAGAAGGCAATATATCAAGCTTTCTTGGCACTTTGATCGTTGCAAGAATCGGCTTTCAATCTTTCCTCTCAAATAGGCAATCGCGATCTGGCTTCGAACATCTTTTCCCTCTTTAAATGTGTCCGGCAGGAAGACTTCAGTTATGAAGACTAGTTACCGCATACTGTCACAGCTCGTTATTCGAGAGGCGTGTGCTAAAACAGGATATAGGACAGATAGTTCATTGATATCCCTGGGTTCTACAAAGCCTTCTTTGGAGAGGTGACAGATCTTGAGCACATTGCTGATACAGTTCTTAAGAACTGCACGCAGGGCGATACTCCGCAATATCACAAGAAGGATGGCTGGAAGGAATGGCCTGAGGATGCAAATGAGCAAGATGTCTTGAAATGGCTTACCCAAAATGATAAACTCTGTTCACAGGCTATGCTGAGGAGTTGTTTCCGACCTTCAACATTCAATGAAGGTTATTGGTATAGCCTCATTGACCTCTATTAGGCTCCACAGCGAAAAGTAAGCTCAATATCAGCATTGTGGATGGTCTAGCTGCTGATAAAGCTGTTAAGTATCACTAGCAGCAGATTCTTATACCAGGAGAACTGAAGAATGACTGCGGATATGATAAACCTTCATTGACAGGTCTTGATCTGGGAAGGTATGCAAGAGAAGTACTTTTGTGTCAGGAGACTTGTTGTTTTGTTCTTGACTTCACACTCTGCTGATCTCTTATGCAGTTATAGGAATTCAATCAATTAGGTGTGATTGCATCTGCGCACTTTGACATCAATAAAGAGGGACAGTGATTTGTCACCACTGTGCTTGAATTTCTCTGGATGAGCAAGGAGCAGCTTGGATATCATCCCGCCATTATTGATGCCGAACGGCATTAAGTATATTGACATCAAATGAAATGGACAAAAGGAGTGTCTCATCATTGATGGATTGATGATGCGGGCGCAGTGCATCACAGGCTGTGCCACAACTGAGAATGATGATTTGCAGATACCTCTTGTGATCAAAGACTCGTGGCAATACTTGGAGCGCGACGAAGAAGGTGAACTGCTGCGCGAGGCGACGAAGTTGAAGTAATGTATTCAATATTCTTTTATTCTCTTTTTCCCCAGTCTCTTCTTTCTCTCTGATTTTACATATACCCCTGCTTGAACCCGTGCGTTGGGATTTGGATTAGTTTAGAAGTCTCTTGTAAAGTAGAATGGATTTTTATCGAGAGCAACAGTTGAAATAGTCATATAATCTCACTGGTCAGTTCTATCAATTATTCTAATTTTTATCCTTCACACAGGACTTTGGGATAAAGGAAATTAACTAGACATAAGTACACCAAAGCTCAGTCACTCTTTGCCGATTATAGATTATAGGCTGTTGTCCTTTACTGTTGTCGCGGCTGCTTTTTGATCGCGATGATCTTCCTCGTCTGAGAGCCGCTGCATGCACGTTCGACGTTCAAATTCTCCTTGTATCGCTTGAGCTGCTCCGGAGCGATCTGCGCCGCATCTTCCTCCGACCTCCATGTCGGTGCCCGAATCTACGTCGCAAATACATAATAAGAAACCTCTACTCCCAGACTTACAGCCGGGGTAAGTTGAGAGCAAGGTGTAAGGTTAGATAGAGCAAGTGAAAGATTGGAACAGGTGCTCTACTATTACACCTGCTCTAACCTCACACTCTGTTCTAATCTTTCACCTGTTCTAACCTTACTTCCACTCTAGTATTATCACTGCTGTAAGTTTTAGGGGTTTTTTGACTTTCATTGCCATGACTTGGAAGAAAGAATAGAATCTCATTGTCAACTAGATAAGCAAATACTAAGGTAGTGAACACTATAGACACTATATAAACAGCCACCTTTCAGATTCTAACAATAGCTCTCATTGAATCTTACAGTGTACGGCCTGATTGAATTACTGATCTAATTTATCAGAATCTTTGCAGAGAGCTGAGGTCGAGAAAGTGTTAGGGCTTTGAATCTCAGTGCAGAAAGAGAATATATTGATTGCCAAACTAGGTAAGCTATTTCAACGAAATACTAAGGGGGTGAGAATAAGAATAAGAGGGTCTGGGAGGAGATGGCATTATATACAACAATGCAGGCGACTTTCACTGTCTCAGCTCTAAGCTCTAGTTTCTATCCACCGCTGATCTCCAGATCTTAACAGGAAGGACTGAAATGGTAGGAATCTCATAACAAAAGCAGCATTGCAACCACTGCTCGGGATAGCATTCTTGAGGCCAGTCACGGTGAGACATACAAGCATTCCAGCTTGCTGAGCCTCAGTATCTGAGAATCTACGGTAGGGTGGGCGGTGGTGGAAGATTGCACGCAGCGAGAATTTGGCACCACTCCCAATTGGCACATAGAAACCAGTAGACATCATCTTTGCTGCCACTCTCATGGTTAAGGACATGCCTTCTAAGGCCCTCTTTCTTTCTCCATGGTTCAATCACAATCCAGATTTACTGCTCCGATCAGCAATGTGTGAATTCTAGACAAGATAAATGGATCTCACATTAATACAGTCTGTTCTGGTTGCATCATCTATTTCTTCGCTGTCATTCTGAGCCATGTAAAACATTTTTATTTGATGCCAGTATGATCAAATCATCCTCTCGCTGTGAATTCAGTGATAGTGGGTTTCATCAAGCCAGTTGAGGAATGCCTTGAATCTGAAGAATGTCAATGTTGTAAAAAACTGACAAGGTGTGATATTGAGTTTCTCGGGACAGTAACTGATTTTATAAGTTAATAACTCACATCTTCCAGCTTTCTCCAGACTGTCCATGCACCTCACTTGATGTTGTTTGCATGACTTTTCTTGGTGTGAGCCATCTCATGCTCCTTCTCTTGTTGTTTTGAAATCTGTATTTGTTGGTGCCAGTCTTAGATGACAGCCACTGTGTTGAGCAGCAGCATGCTTAGACTTTACAATTGTCATGTTAAGTGTTGCTGGCGGAGTTTGTCCTTAAAATCTCTAGATCTTGGGAGGGGAATTAAGAATAGATAGAATTGAAGTGAAGTAAAAGTAGAGTGTTGGATGGATTTGTATATGAGGTCTCTGATTATGAGGAAAATAGAATGAAGAAAGCTTCTCTGAGGGCGAGAGAGAGCATGAAATTTTAGAAAAGATGGTCTCATCATAGATGAGGAGCGCAGGCCGATTTTGAAGCCATCAACAGTGGGGGTGCACCTTCGGATGCGGTCACGATTAATATTGAGCCGCCCACCTACCCTTCCCTTCCTCCCCTTCCTCCCCTTCCTCCCCTTTAAAAAGAGAAACCAGACCACCTTTTTTTTCGCTTAGTTTAGAATAGATCCCCTCACAGGAGAGCTCATTGGGGCTTCTTACCCCTGCTTAAATACTTGAAGTTCAAATCAGATCAAGTCATGATCTAGCCTCTGGTTTCAGAAGCAGAAGTTGCCTGAACCGACTGGGCTGCGCCTGCCAAGAGAAATGGTGCTGTAAAAGCGGCCGTGAGGCTAAGCCTCTTCAGAGAAGATGCCCGTGTGCAATACCGTCGCGATACTGTTGCAATACAATACCGCTGTGACGGCCAAAAGCAGCGAACCCGCTATACCAAAATCGGGACACCAAAACGGTCAAAGATGGGATCTCTTAGGTGTAAGAATATATATAGCGAATAAGAATGACAATACCATTATTGTCCACATAAGCTGGTACGCTGCGTAGGCCTGTATGCGTAGTTAACTACGGAGTACTAACCTTCTAGTTACCCACCGAGTCGAGTCTTGTGACCAATTTGTTCTTTTTCTTTTTCACCCCCCGATTCAGTAACTCCGGGGCGGCAGAGCGTGCGTGGAAGGAAGATTGGTTTTGATATAAGTATAGTATACTCCGTAGTATGCTGTGGATGGTTAGCCCTCTTTCGAAATAGAGTGAGTTGCCTGAAACAATATATATCTACATAAAAATATAAATATAAATATAAATACACGACTATTTAGACATTCATTCATACATGCACATATAACTATACATATTGCTGCAGCTTGAATTCCTTGCGTCTAAAGGTTCAATTTTCAACTTTCAATGTTTGCTGCCGTGCTCAGCATATTCATGAGACGAGATTGAGCAGTAAGTTAACTAACTTAGTTAAGTATTGAGTGGTCTTGAATAATAATAGAAGAATATATATAGCCGTACATGCACATATAACAATAATAATAAAAGTGTCCAGTAGTCCAGTAGAGTAGTCCATGAAGGATGATAACTTGTCAAGTAAGCACCAAAATATGATTCTGGAACAAAAAAGGCAAACCCGTGGGATGATAAGATATTCATGCCCAAGCTCCTTCCTTTTAACTTAACGTTACCTGTTTCATCCTTCCGGTGAAGTCCAAAAATCAAAGTTCACGAATAGCTGCGAGACATAAGAGTCGGATGGGATGGGATGGAATGAGATGGGATGAGATGCCGACAGACTCCACAGACTCTACAGACTCTACAGACTCTACAAACTCCCCAAGGCTCCCCGCTAGCCCTGTTATTAATTCTCAGCCTTTTCTTTTAGCTGTCTGGCTCCTTGACATTTTTAATTATTATTATTATTATCATTATTTTGTCCTCCTCTCCTGAGGTTCCGGAGATTCGAGATTCTGTTCCTGTTCCTTCTGAAGGGCCACTCCACTGCCAAATAATAATCTATCTCCCCAGACAGGACAGACAGTCGAGTCGGCCCAGTCGCTTAGCTGCGAACACTTGCGCCTTGAGCAAGTTGAGATGGGCCGAGTTCGCTCCCCTTCCCGCAGCGCCGGCCGGGGTTGTGGCACGCCATCTTAGCCTGTGATATGATATGCCAGCTATTTGTTTGATATTTCCATTAAAGTTATTATTCATTCAACGACGTGCAAATAATCGCTGTTATCTATTATTATTCTCCCCCAACACAGCTTTGGTGAGGTTTGTATTATTCTGTTTCTTATATATAGCTCTTTTTCTCTCCGTTCTCTCATTTCCCTCCCTCTCCCCCCCCCCTCCAAAAAGCCCCCCCTATATATGTCTGTCGTCTTACACCCAACCGACCTTGCTCTATATATATCTATTTATTTATCTTGAACCAAGGTCAAGCGCTCTGAGATCTCCACCTCGATCTGGACTCTTCGCATTTCCAGTTTTCCCCTTGCTGCCCAGCTGCCAGTTCCACTTCTTTTTGAAGCTTTTCCCATCGCCTATTGCTGGGTCTCAGCCCAACTGCCTTTATTCTTATCTCCTTGTCTCTTTGAACCCTCGATTTCTCTTCTTCTCTTCGCCGCAGTGTAGCATTTGCCACGGGTGTCTCTCCACCGTCCTCACCCTGCTATCCTCCCTTAGCCCGCTTGGTCGGCATCCCCGGAATACTCAGTTTGTCAGTTCCTTGTGAGCCCAGCGCTCGGGAGTTTTTTATTTTATTTTTTGTCTCTCGGCTCGTTGCCCGTTTTGCCATCGATTTCAAGCTCCGGTTCTTCTCCGCAAGCTCTAGATTCGACTCGCCGCCACTCAGACAAAACAAAAAAAAAAAAAAAAAGATTTAATACCATAATAATAATACTAATATAAATCGCCCCCATATCAGCCGGCCTGATATGGCCCAAAGGCAGCTATGGACTACTCTAATGACAGCCATTGATCCTCTCAATGCAAAAGCCATGCCCGTCGTCCTGCAATCCACTATCCAGCTGTTGGAAACAGAGCTTGCGAATGCCAAAGCTGCGCTCGAGGAAATACAGGCGCATTCAGCAACGGCAACATCAAGATCAACATCAACGTCAATCTCTTCTTCTTCTCCTTCTTCCTTGTTTTTGTCGCCGTCTTCCTCCCTCTCTTGCTATTGCGCCGAAATGCAGGAAACCATCACCGCTGGCGCTATGGCTGCGTACAAGCACCATCTGGTCGGCCGCGTCTCCCAGATTACCAGCTCGTCTCTACATCTGTCTTGTCACCCTAACTGCGCCGTCGCATTCTCACATAGTCCGTTGCACGTCTCGCTGCGAGACCTCCTATCCAATTCCCTCATCCTCGACCACATAGCGCCCTATCTTTCGATCTCGTCTCTACTCTCGCTAGCCTCCACATGCACTACCTTCCGTTCCATTATAATGGATACCCCATACGTTTTTCGGCATATGGATTTGACAACATGTCGCGGGGCTCAACCACCGCCGTTCATGGGTCCCATAGATGCAGGCGGTGAGGTGTGGAGGAGCGAGCGCATGGATGAATCTTTGACTGAAGACGATTTCTACTCGGGTCCCTTGAGAGGCATCTTTTCTAATTTAGGACGCCGGTCCATCTTGCAGGATGTCAGAACGCTCGTGCTAGATGGCCTCTCCGTCCCCACAGACCTCATCGCCGATATTGTGTTAACTGATAGGTTTAACGTTGTCATACTGTCTATCCGGGACTGCCTCAACCTGAACGAACGTAAGTTGATGCAGACCTTACAATATGCCGTCAGACCATCCCGGCCCAAGGGAATGCCAAGAGTGCGGGGAATCTATTATTTCACCGCGAAGAATGATTCACAACAGAGTACCTCACACGGCAGAAAGCAAATGTACCACACTTCCGCAGCCACCAAGTGGGACCGACCTGGGGATCACCAGCCTGACGATCAATCGAGCAATTCCGCCGACACCTGCCACACTGCCAAGAAGGATAACTACCACGATCAGCTGACGCGGAGACATCCGTGGTACAAAGCGTCAGGTAAAGTGCTCAGGAAGAAAATCTCCAACGGATGGGCAGAAACACTGCAGCTTTGTAACGGAATCATTTCCTTTGATGCAGTGCTGTGCCGGAGTCCAGCGCATCAACCCTTCACCTCTGCAGAAGGAAACGACGCGCAACCAGACACGTACCTCTCGCCAGCAATCGCAACAGTTGCTCTCGGTCCCAGGGGCTGCGAGGACTGTCGAACCTCACCTGAAGGTCCCGCCCTCTGGAACCACTCGCCGGAATATCAATTCCCGCTCCTCACGCCTCTCCCACTCCACTCCTCCCGAATCACTGCCGCCAAGTCCCCCGTAGTCTCTGACAACGATGAGCCCGTCCTGATAATGCAGTGCCAAGAATGCCTGATCGACCGCTGGTGCAACCGGTGTGGCAGCTGGTGGTGTTCAGCCTGCCTCCCGCACCCGGAAAAGCCAAGACACCATCGCAAGCTACATCAGACCGCGTCCCGATCCTCATCTTCGTCATCATTATCTTCCTCCTCCTCCTCGTCCACCTCGTCCGGATCCGGAGAGGAAGGAGGAGGCTCAGTATACGCAAAGGTATTTAACAACGGTCTCTGTCCACAATGTCACACCGAAACCACTACTACCTCCTCTCGTCCGATCCCATGATACATATACGAGGGTGACTTCAATGCGAATATTTTGAACCGAAAAGGGGACCAAAATAAAATATCGCAAGCCAGCACTTCTTTGTATAAAAAAATGGTGATATGATTGAAGGAAGTTCGCTTTCAGCCTTCCCCACTACTTTATTGTAAAATGTAGCAATACGTGGCTTTGAAAAAGTTCTTACCCACCCGGCGCAACAACACTTACCCCTCTTATTTCATCTACGCCCCTTTCTCTACCACCTGGACAAGTTTAGCTAACAATATCTTTTCTATCTAAATAGCGCTTTATAGCAGGCGTCAGCAGAGATTGCTGGGAGTGTGGAGCTACAGTAAGTTTCTTGACCTCTCCCAGTCGCATATATAACTGCGAAATCAACATTTATTTTATCCCGATTGTTTTACTGATTTTGGGTTTTTCCCCTCCTTTACCAGTGTGGTGCCTGCAAAGCAGAAGTCCAACGGACCTGCATTACATGCCAGGGCGAGTATTGCATCGAGCATAATGATGGGTGCACGGCTACGAAGGTATGTTAGCTCTCTTTTATTTTATTTTATATACAACATATCATCACGCAGTGTGTGAGGCAGGGTATACTTACACAACCCATTTATCCAGTGCGACTGGTGCAATACCAGCGGACGTCGACGGAGGGGTCCATGATGTGAACGAGTTTTGCACTGATATCCTCCGACATAACATACTTTCGCCACCCCCAAAGGCCATCGCCGGGGACGGACCGACTTGAAACTACACATACACACGAATAAAAAAAATTAAAAAAAGAAAAAAAGAAAAGAAAAGAAAAGAAAACGAAAACAAAAACAAAAACAAAAAAACACACTTCGCCCTTCCTCTCCGGAATTTCCATCGACACCTGTTCCTCTCTTGTTGAAAGTTACGAGCATGCCAGCCGGCCCTTCTCCACTCGATCTCAACTTCATATCGGTCCCGTAAATCCCCGTTCACTGTGGGAAAGCCATCTCCATCTCCATATCCATCGCATTCACCCCTCACCCCATAGCGACGGCCATCCAGATTTGGGCCCACTTCATTCATCTACGGCCTTATTTATACCTCTACCATTTTCCCTCTTCTTTACTTTTCTTTTATTCCTCTCCTTTCTCTCCGACGCTCTATACCACATATATCCTCTCTAATTCCGGTGTTAACTGTTTTTTCGCCTTCTCCCACTTCCGCGTTGGAATCCTGTTATGAACTTTCCGCTCGGATATTTCTTCATTGCTTCTTCTCTTCGTTTCATGCTCTTGAGAGTTAAATCTGCAAATTTGGGCTTCTGATCTGGTATGTCATTTTTCTCTTCTTTCGGTCTGGATGCGGGCAAAGCATTCATTTACTTTATATTTATATATATAATATATTTCTTTTTTTTCCTACTTGACTGGGTGTTAAATTCTGGGGACGGAACTGCGGGGAAATGGATAAGGTTGTCTTTCGTGTGGTTTGTTTCTGGGCTCTATTTTATTTTATTTTGTTTTTGTTTCATTTTGCGTTCCGGGGTTTCTAATTCTTTTTCTTTTCTTTTGTGCCTGGCTAGGTTAGGTAGACTGGGAGGGACACTCATCTCCGTTCTATATATATAAATTATATAAAATACCTTAAACATTGCATAACTATGGTTTGATATTTCCGTTGACTTTAGCTTATCTCTTACGGATTGATTTGCACTGTACATACATGTAAAGAGATTGTTGGCTTAAAAAATATATATATATGGATATATATTTTTAATGAGCAAGGCATATGGAAAAAATTTGTTTCACTTAATCTCTGCAAAAATAAATAACTAAAACAAAGGAAGAACGGATACTTGGGGGAGATATTTAAACGACGACAATGCGCTAAACTACACCGTATTTCAAATTTTTTAAAGGACCTCAGAAAGAATTCTTTGTTCTTTTTCTATTTCTTTTTGCCCTGGAAGCTGTTCTCTTTCATTCTCATAACGAACATATATGATGCTCAGCGTGCTCCGAAGAAAAAGCGAGCTGGGGGATTTATGAAGCCTTCCATTTGAGATTTAACCTACTTACCAACCAACCAACCAACCCAACGCTTCTCTCAGCGTTTTCTCTCCCAGTATAAGTTAAAAGTCGAAATCAGCCCTCCTTGCACCTCGCATTTTCCAGGTTCTATCTACAGAACGCGTCACACCAGGAAAATGTCATGCCACAAAAAGGGAACAACAGCATCGAATGAGAACCCCACGGCATTTGACTTTTCAGTGGGTTTGGCGCGTGTCAACCGCACGATATAGAAAAGAGTAGGGCTGGCTTAAGTTCCCGGCTATATACTGAATTAGGACGGGAGTAGAGCCGGGCCGGAGCAGGAGCAAGAGCAACAGGGTAGGAGGGATGAGTATCATCGATCCTCTTCTGCGACTTGATACAATAGCACCAAGTAATGTGCATGGAGAGGTCGTTATGTGCCGGGAGGGAGAAGGAATTGGATACTGGCTCGCCCCGCGCCCTGGGTTTGAGTTCACGAAAATATGAGGACGTAGGTACCAGAAAATATTAGAGCCGTGGTTGTTGGATGCGGCCCAAGAACTTCGGGAAGCTCGGGGAAATGGTTGATAAAAGCAAGAGGGGGGTTGGTGCGTTCCTTTTGCCCTTTTTCTTCAACATAGAAAATACTTCACTCTGGTTCTGGGGTGACGTTGTCATCCCACTTGGTTGTATCCCAGAGAAATGAGCGTGAGCATTTGGTGCCTGGATAACGAATGTGAGTATCTTGTGTTAATATCTAGTGTTTAGCTTTGGGGAATAGACGCGTGGAGCTAGCCATCTAAATGTTCTGGCATCTAAGAGGGAGGAACACACAGTACATATTCGGACAGCCGCCATTTTTCTGAATTCTCCAACCACATTGCGGATTGGGACATTTCTTCGTCATCCTCTTAATTCGTTCCTCGCTGCTGCGCACGCTTTGCGCATTTGGATGTTGGTCGTCATACTGGCCGCAGGTGTACTTGTGATGCCAGGGGACACCGTGCAGGAAGCAGCTGCTGGCTCCACATTTGCCACAGTCCACCTTCTGAGACTGGTTGCCTTCGGGGAATACTTGGCCGGACGAGCAGGTGATGGACAAGCACCAGGTCCAGCGCGGGTGAGATTCGAGTTCCTTGCGAGCAGCAATTCCAGTAATGACTGCATTCTCGGTACGACTCAGGACAGAGCGGATCTCTGACTCTGTGAGCGGAATGTTACATTGTGGACAGGTGCAGAGGGACCAATCAATTGTACCCTTGTCTGCTGGCTTGCTATAGTTAATCGGAGCTCGTGTTTTTAGGGTCATAACGATGTGCTTTGAGACACAATTTGAACATGTAAGTGGGTCATGTAGACACCTAGGGAAAGTGGGAAAATTTGCGCCATTGTGTCCCAAGGGCCTCATTTCTGTACAGATGACACATTCTCTAAAGGCATCACTTCGAGCCTTTTTGTGACTGCGGGGTGGGAGCTTATCAGGCAGAGAGAGTCCTGGTGGTTGACTCGACCCTGGAGGCTTTTGTGGGCTCCGCGGTCTTATTGGAAGTTTAGTCTTTGGGTTGCGTTTTACTGAGACACCTTTCGTCAAAGAGCGTCGTATACTAGCATTCGATTTTCGATTGTTAACAGTCCTTGGTTGTTTGTCAGTAAAACGCCCGGGTTGTTGGCGTATTTGAACGCCCATGTTACCCGGACTTTATGGGATGTAGGTATGGGAGGGGTAAAAAAAACGGCTGGTGCAAAGACAATAGGCTTAGAGCAAAATTGTATGTAGCAATTTGGCCTTGGGATATATTCAGATATGTTCGTAAAGGGGATATCAATTCAGCGACCCGTTTTTCAGAATAGGGGTTGGCGCTGATAGGCTTGGCTGCAATGGGCCGGTTTGAATGATAGAAACTGGGGGACAGGGAAATGGTAAGAGAATATAAATGGAAGAATGAGAACAAGAAAGAGTTCCTCGTTCACTTATTTTTCTCTCAATATAAATATCTCGAGAAAAGAGTGAATTCAGCTCCCACCGGGTCACGTGGTTCTGCTGCCTATCTCCCCTGCTTGAGTAATTGCAACGAGGTTGCAAGACTTCGCTGATTTAACCACTAACCGAAGAATCTGTTGTTAGCAAGAAATAGTCCGAATGCTGCCTGTCATGGTGGCTGTGATCGGGTTTTCATTGGGACTGATATCGTTGGAGGCCTGGAAGGACGGAGGAGCAATGGTCAGCACGCGAAAAACAGAATGAGAGACCCTGTAGTATAATGCAGATGGCCAATTAAAATTCCAAGGACGTCTGAAGAACCAAAACATGGGGTATTGTCCCCTTACTATGAGTAATATTAAACAACAATTTGAGCATGTTGACATGAAGTTGGACATAGAGTAAGAAAGAGGAAGAATGTCTCCAGTTTATCTTAACTACGTTATCACGTGAAGATAAGATCGATAAGATAAGATCATCTCGTAGGTTCTGGAAGCGGCGTTGGTAATCATCCAATATCAGACAGCTTGCCTTCGACAGCTGGGGAGATAAACAGGTTGTGTGGGATGAGGAGAGAGAAAACGATGGCGTAAACTTCGTCCAATCCTCTTACACCCAGAATTTATATACTACATGTTTTGTGTATCATGGCCACCGAACCGGATACCCTAAAATGGTCCGCCCAGTTTGCTGTTACCACTCCTACTCGAACAAAGAAGTTACCAGGAGATAAGATTCTTCTTCCTCCCTCCGCACTCGAACAGCTACTAGCCGCTGCTCCAGTTACCTCCATAGAATCTGCCCATACTCATTCGTTGACACCCCAGTTCGATCCTTTCAATCCACACACTTTTGCCGCTGAACGGCGAGCTAGAGAGTTGGTCGCAGACAGACAGCAGCAGCTTCCACAACCTTTGACCTTTCGCATAGTTAACCCTTCGAACGGCCGGATTGTTCATGCCGGTATACGCGAGTTTTCTGCCCAGGAGAATGAAGTTGGGTTGAGTGCCTTCCTTCGTCAGAGCCTTGGTCTCGACGATGGCGATTTTCCCTCTGCGGGGAAAAGGGTCATATCAGCGGAGGAGTCGCCATCTGATGTGGATATGCTAGAACCTGGGGATGGAAATATTTCGAACATACCAGAAGGTCCGATTGTCACTATACATGCGAGACAGCTGCCAAAGGGGACATATGTTCGCCTGCGCCCCCTTGAGGCGGGGTACGATCCCGAAGATTGGAAAGCGCTGCTGGAACGACACCTACGCGAGAACTTTACAACTTTGACGCTTGGGGAACTCCTACTAATTCCCGGAGGCCGGAATGAAACGTTCAGGTTTCTAGTTGATAAAGTGGAGCCCCAAGGGGACGGTATTTGCATTGTGGACACTGACCTTGAAGTGGATATCGAGGCGCTAAATGAGGAACAGGCACGAGAGACCTTGAAGAGGCGCTTAGAAAAAGCTTCTCGGGCTCCAGGAACAAAGGAAGGGAGTTCTACAGGTGGGAAGCTCTCGCAAGGGCAAGAGGTTAGTGGCCAGGTGTTACCAGGACAGTACGTCGACTACGAACTTCACGATTGGGACCACGAACGTCCTTTGGATGTGGAGATTGATGTGGCAGATGATGCAGACGTGGATCTTTTCATAAGTCCCTTTTCGTCGAGGCAAAGAAACAGACCCAGGGACAATGAACATGTTTTTGGAGATTTTTCAAATTTCTCCCCTAAGCGTATTTGTCTTCAGTCCACTAATGTCGAGCTTCAAGATGCGGAGACGGTTTACATATCTGTGCATGCATATTCAGAGGACACCTCAAAAAGCAATGACGCTGCCTCAAAAACCGCAACTCCGCTGAAATATAGACTCCGCACAGCAAGCATTTCCGCAGGAGAGTTATCCGTGCCCCCGGAGAAAGGTGACCACGATCTAGACGATACCCAATGCAAAAATTGCCGCCAGTGGATTCCGAAGCGAACCCTTTTCCTACATGAAAATTTCTGTCTCCGTAATAACATCCTCTGTTCTAAATGCGAAAATGTCTTCCAAAAGCGGTCCCCTGAATGGGAAAACCACTGGCATTGTCCGCATGACGACTCCTACGGCAACGACCAATCCAGCCAACTAAAGCACAACAAAGTCTTCCACACACCTCACCCCTGCCCCAGCTGCCCCTTCACAGCTACCAGCCTCCCAACCCTTGCCCACCATCGCACTACCACCTGCCCCGCCAAACCCATCCTCTGTCAATTCTGTCACCTCATCGTGCCCCAAATGGGCGAAGGAGACCCGGACATGCACGATCCCGAAGTACTACTCTCTGGTCTAACCCCACACGAGCTCGCCGACGGCGGGCGCACGACAGAGTGCCATCTTTGCAACAAAATAACCCGACTCAAGGACATGAAAACCCACCTGCGCCATCATGATCTGGACCGCCTCTCACGGCCGGCGCCGCGGGTGTGCAGGAACCAAAACTGCGGCCGGACCCTACAAGGCAATGCCACCAGTAGTACGATGTCCAGCCATAATACCAATAACAATGACACACTTGGCCTCTGCACGGGGTGCTTTGGCCCACTATACGCAGACGTGTATGACCCTGAAGGGAAAGCGCTACGTCGCCGGATCGAGCGGCGATATCTGACGCAGATGCTGAAAGGGTGTGGGAAAGGGTGGTGCCTGAACCCATATTGCAAGACTGGGCGGGCCAATGCTGCTACATCCTCTGATAGCAGTGGTGAAGTAGCACCAGCCCTAACGAGCAAGGAAATATCGGCGATGATTAAACCGCTGATAGATGCAATTAACATTGGTCCAGCGGCAATAACAACGATGGATGCGAACGCGCCGCCGTTCTATTTCTGCACGGATGAGAAAAGCCAGCAGCGGCGGAAGTTGGCGGAGCTGTTAGCTGCCGAAACTGGAGCTGAGACAGAACTTGGGACTAGCGAAAAGGGGTATGATGTCGTCTGGTGCATTGCGGCCGTTGAGGCGGGCGTGGGGGACTTGGGGAAGGCGAGGGCGTGGTTGAAGAACTGGGCGCCGGGGAAGGGGGAGAGGGTTGCAATTCGTTGAGATGGGATGAGATGTCCTATGTACATAGTCAAGGACATATAGATGTGGAGACGATGCTGGTGCTGCGCGTTTCTCGCTGGCATTATTTATGGATTGTCGTGAGACTGGCTCCTCAAACGGGGCAGAGTAGATGAGCCTTTCCTGATTACGTTTTCTAGGTAAAGCTTTTATAAAAACGGATGCAATTCTGCTTCAGCCCTATCTTGTCTCTTTCTCATTCATTGCACTAAGTTTTGGGACTATGGGTTGATCTCGATATAGATAGTATAGCTGATATCTAGCTCAGAATCTCATTGCATTGACATTTAATCGAACAATACTTGCATTATTATCGTTATGTCTCCTTCTCCTCCTCCCTTCCATTCCATAACTACCTTCTTGTATATATCATGCTTCCTTTGCCATTCCATTCCCATATACTAAACAGTTCATCATAAAGCCCCTGTGAGCGACAAAAAAAGATATACTATTTTACTTCCCTTTTTAGTAAGAAAATTCACATTTCACCCAACATTAAATTCATCTCAACCAAGGCACTAATGAAATAGCGGAACAGCAAAGCAGCATCGCCAAAGCAGGACCGAAGACAAGAACGAAGCAAGACACCCCGAACCAAACCAAGCAGCTCTAAGAGTAGAAACGAGATAAGAGTATAATCGAGTCAATCGGACGTCTATCGGACGTCTATTGTTTTTCAAACCCTACTCGACTCAAGCAAAGGTGAACATGACATGAAGTGTATAGAAAAAACAAAAAGTTCATCTTCTCTCCCCCTTTTTCCGGCCTTCCCAACCCCCTCCCACAACCCACAACCAATAGATCACGGTTTATACATAGCGACAAAACTCAACCCCCTGTCGCTTTGGCAACCAACGACCCACTCCCCCTGGACGAAAAGATCCCCATAATACCAAAAACAACATAAAACAACGCAAGCGGATACGCAACCAAAAACCTCATCCCGCGCATCCGCGCCACGGCACAAAACATTCCCGAACTGCTATATGTACACCAGCCCACCGCGGCGGTCGTTAGTAAGTATCCAAATAGCGTGTCCATGGGTATTAGGATGCCGACGCCACTTGTCAGTACGAGGGGTAGGAAGCAGTAACCCAGAACACTGGCGGAGCGGGGGAACGTGAGGGTTGATGAGAAGTGGCCAGCGCTGCCTGGGACAGTGGAGCCAGATGAACCGGATTGCTTGTGATGTGGGTGGTAGCCGGTTGTGGCGGAGACGGGATCGAGGGAAGATGCTTCCGGGGTTGTGGAGGTCGGGTCTATAAGCGACGGGGACATGAGGCTGAGGATGAGGTGGAGGGCAAAGGTGCCGAAGACGGCGACGCCGTAGATGTAGCCGTAAAAGACTTTTCCGGAGAGGAGGAGGAAGGTACCATAGAGGACTATGTAGAGCAGCGCGCCGTAGAGATCGCTGTCGTCCATGAGGTGTTGGTCGATGCGGGCGAAGGGATTGAGGACGGTGAGGGTCTTTATGTTGTATAGGTATTAGCTACCTACATTATATCTATATATATGCCCATAGTCTATTGAGAGCGAGGATTCCCCAAGGGCCAATAGGAAAAAATCATCTTACCTTGGTCCGGATATGATCAAAATTAACACCCAATTCCTCCAACAACGGCGGTTCCCCTTCGTATCCCTCTGTGCCGAACGCCGCTAACCATCCGGTCCTCAACCCACCCTGCTCGCCCATCCGCCCACTCACGCCCGCCGACGAAGCCCCAAACGCCGAAGCTCCATACCCACCGGGTCCCCCTGACGCTCCCCCGCCAACAGAAAAACCGGAGCCTGGCCCAGAAGCTACGCCGTAGCCGCCATATGTGGCCTGTGAGGGCGTTGTGTGACCGGAAACAGATGTGTAGGAGGTAGGGTAGAATTGGAGGTTTTGTGCGGATTGTTGCTGAGCGCCGCCGCCGTATGGTGGCTGCTGCTGGTGTTGGGAGTAGAATTGGGCCATTACGGCCGGATGGAGGTGGTTTGTGGACAGTGGATAGATGTGTTTGGGTGTGTGCGGAGAGGCAAAGGGTTTGCGGTGGTACTGAGGGCGGGTTTCAAGATATGGACAGGAGGCCTTGTAGCGGATATATGCGATCGGGATGGGGGTTTAGGTGGCGACACTAGTAGGTAACAGACATAGAAGGAATGTATAGAAGTTGGTGCTGGTGGTAGTTGGTAAGGTAGTAGTTTGGTGATGATATATAGTTGTTAGCTAGCTATTATTCTTGTAGTTAAGTTGTTGCTTTGGGCGACGTGGGATCTAAGTTACACAGTGCCAAGACCAAGCAGAACCAAGCAGGGTACAGCGTACTCCGTATGTAGTCCACTTTTCTTTTAGTCCAACAAAACATGTTGATATTTGAAGTGTGAAAAATAAGAAATATTTTATCCCCTTTCTATTATTCCTTTAATACTTTACTATACATATACATCTATCCTTTCTCTTTTGTTATAGGAAATTAATCCCAATCCCGAATTGCAACCCTTTTCTCCCCTCCTCTCCCCGTCGCAGGATAAGGGGCAAAGAGAAATTCAACTCAAACCTCGCAGCAGGATGCGCATATACGAGTCCCAGACCAGCGGCCATGCTTGGTAATCCATTCCCTAGTTCCGACACGGTCGCCACCATGCTATCTCTAACCTCCCCTTGCGTCGACGGTAGTTTCCTATCCTGCGTCTTCAGCGGTAGAAGGCGGCCTGCGTTTACAAAAGCTTGCAGCCGTAGTGGTTTTTCCGCCCCAACTCGAGGCAAAGGGAACAGGAGATTTGCACTACCCGCCGCGAAAACGTCTCCCCCTAATGCGTCGGGGCCTTCCCGTGGGCCGATACCCGCGAGTCTAAAGCCGCGTACATCGGTCGGGCCACCCAGCTGGAAGCGATCGTTGATACGGGAAAGTTGAGGCTTCTGAGTCGCATCTAGGCCTAGTGGGTAGAGGATACCAGCACGGAAACCTGTGGTCAAGCTGATGCCGCTGTCCCCTTTCACTCCGGGGATGGGAATTGGCACCGCTCCCTGGGCTTCCAGCTCTGATTTCCAGAACGATACATCCCCCTTAAGCGGACCCAATCCAGCCACCTCGTTGAAGGTCCTCGTGTAAAATCCTCGCGAGGGAAGGAGGGGGTTATCACGCCTGTCGTTGACCCATGTGTGGGAGATGCTGCTCTTGACGCTATCGCCCGCATCCCCACGAACAGTTGGCGAGGCGTCCGTAGACAGGCCGGTCACTTGTCTCCAGAACCCATTGTAGCCCAGTTCATGTCTGTGCCCGGACGGGCTCAGCCAACGGAGCTTCGTCCAGGCTCCTTTGACCACCTCTTCGTGACTAGCCCAGCTCTTCTCCGTTGAACTACCAATCCCGCCGATTTCACACCTGAAGTCCGGGTTGCTGAGGATAGGAGTGTCGAATGCGGCTTGGTAGGCCGATCTGGTCCGGGTGCCGAGCGAAGCGTTGACATTCAGAGACTCGGCGCCACCAAAGATATTCCGCCACATAAAGTTGGCATAGGCGGATCCTTCTGCATTTCCGAGATCCGTGCCTGTCTTTAGCAGGATGCGAGACTTCTCTTTGACGGAGAGGTAGACTTCGAGATCCGTGGGAGTTGTAGATGGGTCGGTTTGGGAAGGTTTGTCGAGGAAGACGGAGATGGGGTGTTCGAAGATGTCTAGTATTCGATTTATTTAGTTTTGCTTTGACTAGGCGTTTGGACAATCACGAGAGTAAACATACCAAATCGACTAAGTTTATCCGTGCATATCGAGATTTCTGACAGGGCTTCCGAGAGGGTATACGGGCGGTCATTATTTGCGCTCAAGAGCGGGCTGAGGACTTTTTCCAGGAACCCTCTCCTTGTGTTGTTCGCATTGAGGACTTGGACGGACGAGATGGTACATGGTAGCGTGGAATTTTGGTCAATCTGATATTTTGTTCCCATCCAATGAGCTTTACAATTCTAATGGGAATCGGCCCCTTCGATGCGGGACGAGAATTTCGCAATCGGAATTTCTGCCGAGGATGGTATGGGGTGGAAATGGTAGCAAGAAAAAACAAACCAATTCAGCGAGCCGGGACTGGGCTTTTTGATATATCGCATTTATTCTCTCATTAACAGCCTGCTGCTGCTCCTCTAGCACCTTCGGATCGGTCGACTTCTGCTTCAGCCGTTCGAATATCTACCAACGAAATCACCTCAAAAGAGGCACAGTTGGTTAGTAAGTAAAATAAAACACAGGACATAGCGTAGATACGTAGATACTCACATTCTCGTCACTCTCGAGTGGTGATACCATCGCGACGCTCGACAATGGCTAGCATATATCGGTTGTTTGTGTTCCATCAAGAATCCTGTTTCGGGAGCCGGGATGGGATTGCCTTTACGGTAAATAGTCACGTGATTATATATTGTAGCGGACGGGCGTATCGTATGGTACGTACTGTCACGGTTGACGGTCCTATTACATTACGGGGGATCCACCTGGCCTTTGCAACTTCAGCTTCATCTTGATCTTTCTTTACTTCAACACTTCACACTCCAGTTCTCACCCTGCCTATTACAACTCTCGTCCTACGTACTTGGTGTTAGACTTTCTAGTAACTTACTACCCTCTTTGCGCTTCCGTGAGCTCCTCCTTCTCCGTTCCGTTGTACCGATCACTGGTTCCTCTCGGGACACAGCCGGCCCTCTCGAGATGGCTACAAGAGCCGCCAACAAACGCGTGAGTGTGCAAACCCCAGAATATTGTACAGAACGAGATGGGAGACGGGAGGTGACTAACAGCGATATGTGTTTCTCGATATGTTTAGCTTGTGCGCGAATACCAGAACATCCAAAAGAACCCGCCACCATATATCATAGCACACCCCTCCGATTCAAATATTCTAGAGTAAAACACCCCTGACCCTTATCCACGGGGAAAAATTAAAATCTAATAAATTTCTGACAGATGGCACTACATAATCACCGGCCCCCCTAAGACCCCCTACGAAAATGGCCAATACTGGGGTACCCTAATGTTCCCACCAGAATACCCCTTCGCGCCCCCCGCAATCCGCATGCACACCCCATCCGGTCGCTTCCAATCCTCTACTCGCCTCTGTCTCAGCATTAGCGACTTCCACCCCAAATCCTTCAATCCAGCCTGGGAAGTCTCCACAATCCTCATCGGCCTCCTCTCCTTCATGACTAGCGAGGAGATGACGACGGGCTCCGTTAGCGCCTCCGAGTCCGAACGCAAGATCCTCGCTGCGCGCTCGAGATGGTGGAACTCGACGGGCGGCGGGTCGTATACCAAGGCGGTGCCAGGCGTATCGCCATCGACCAGGGGGGTTGGGAGTGTGAAGGCTGGTGATGGAGGGTTGAAATTTCGCACAGAGTGGGCAGATGTAGATAAGGAGAATTGGAAGTGGATGGAGGAGAATCGGGTGGATCCAGCTACGGGCCAGTTTTTGCCGGATCCTAATAGTGGCGCTACTACCAATGGTGGGGGTGGGAGTGGCGCCGGTGGTACAAGATGCTCGCCGGAAGCGAGTGCTTTGCGCAGACGACATGCGGGGAGTGCGGCAGGCCTTGGTGCTGTGGTAGAAGGTGGTCAAGCTGCAAGGGACGTGGGTCAGAGTTGGATTCGACGGCATAAGGTATGGGTTGGGCTGATGGTGGTGCTGGGATATGCGTTGTTGATTAGACTGTTTGATGACGGGAGCGGATAAGATTTGGACGGATGCACTTTACATTTGAACACGTTGGTGTTTTCTGCCATCCATCATGAGCTAGGAATGGGTGAACATGAAGGAGAAAAGATGTATTTTCAGGACCACTCGCCAAAGAACGACCTTTCGCATCTACATTCGCTTGGGCACACTTACCACGCGGACAGCTTGTATACATCAGCGACAAGCCTTGGCCGGAAATATGAATGCAGCATTTCATAAACTTCGCCTACCTGAATGACGCCAGCACGCGAATCAAACAACAGAGCAAGCAACGTAAGTTGTTATTTATTAGAGAGAAAGATGTTTTCTTTTCTTTTTCTTTTCTATTTTACTCCCGTTTTTTTAATATAGTTTTTATTTGGGGATGGGAGAGCGGAGGTGGCGCACGGATGTATTTTTCTCATGTTTATACTATTTGCTGGTTGCTTTTCTTTCTATCTTCTGTTTTTCTACCTTTTGTCCTTTATACCAGTTAGTATCCCAATGCGGGGTCCCCCCTACCTCTCTGGATATAGTGCGTGGTATGTTTATATAGCATGTTACGGGCGTATGAATCTTGAGATGGCATGGGATGGGAGGGGAGGGGAGGGGAGGGGACGGATTGCCTTTCTATTCTCACGGAAATTAATGTCTTTTTTTCAATCGCTATGTAATGTAATGTATTTTATTCTTCGCTTTTCTCTTAAGCAAAGTTTTCTCCTGTATCTCCTATGGTTGTCCCCAGCTCCACTAAGACCCCGAACAAAACAGCCCTTAAAACGTGCAATAAGAAGACGTCTATCACATACGAACATAGGGAGTGGAAAATAGGGCTTCCCGTCCGCTCAGCCGTACTCAAGCCACTTTACAACATGCCCAACTACATGTCGAGCCTCCAAGTTGCTACTACTTCAAGAGTGATGATCACACAATGTGATGGTGAGTGCAGGTGAGTATGGGTGTGCTGGGTGAGATCATGGATGAGATTGAGTGACACTATGTGGTTGCAGGTAGGTCAGGAGGAATTGCCTGCTCTATCTCAAGAACTATTTCAGATAGACACAAGATGAACTGTCAAATTGAGATTCCTTTTTCATTCTTCAGTTCTCTTCTCTTCTTCAGATCTTCTGCACACATCACATGATACAAAATGGATGACAAACTGATCAAGATGTTGAAAGATTGGTTGAAATGTGCTGTGTCTTAGAGATTCACTACTCTGTACTGAGTATCAGCAACAACAAGAAGAGTAAGACAATATTGTTTGTTTTTGAAAACTGTCTCTGCTACTGTAACATGGCGGAACTGAAGCAGTGGCTAGTCAGCAGTGTCATGTAGGAGTAGTTGTTTGAGAAGTCATATAAGTGAGCTTGACTATCTTGCTTGAATAGTGAGCTTGTAGGCTACAAGGTTATTATGAGAATATCACAGATATGATACTTAGTATACTAAGAAGATTGTATAAGACATGCAGTAACTCTTATATATATTTCAGTAGAAGAAAAAGATAAATCACTGACTTCTTTGATGAAGAGCCAGCATCTAGCTATTCTATATAGACAATGAGTGAATACTCTTCTCTTATTTCATAAGTGAGAATAGTCAGAGTGATACCTCAGCAGTATCTTATTATTAAGAAAGAGTAATCTGCTGATCTTGTTATAGAAGTGAGATTCTTATACTCATTAATTAAATCTTTCTATGATATATTCATATAATATCATAGAGTGATTGAAAACCAGTTCAGACAGCCTGTGAAATGAATGAAATTATTTACATAAAAGTGATAAGCTGTGTGAAACTGTAATGAAATCTTAATACAGCTGAGAGTATAATAATACTCTTCTCTTTAAAAGTATAGTCTCTATATTCTCAAGATTATCAGATTAGAAATTATCTTTATTATATAGTAATAATTACTAACTGATTAACAGTGTATATACTGTGTATAATATAAAGAAATAGATGAGTTTTTCTACTAACTATGTAGATCTTTCTTTTCTCATCTTTATTTAAATCAAATATATAATAAGTGAGTTTCTTATATATCAATTTAAAAGATAAAAAATGTAATTAATAAGTGTAAGGGGCCTGCACTGAATAGATCAGTATAATATTATAGGTCTTATATAACAAAGATAAAAATGTTAGAGAAGAAAAGAAAGAGAAAGTGTGAGAATCAGTGATTGAGATGAATATTTATACATGTATGTGGTGGTGTATGTGATGGAGCTTCGGGGCGGAAGAATATACATGTGTTCATAGCAGCTGAGGATTGGTGATCAGGAATGGCTGAGAATCAGAGTGTATGCTACACATGTTCATAGTGGCCGTGGATCAGCAATCAGAAGTGGCTGAGAATCAGAGTGTATGCTACACGCATTTGTAGCAGCCGTGGATCAGTGATCAGGAATGGAAGAATCTATGAAGTGTAATGAAATAGTCTATATGATTGATTGAGCGCAGCCTGCCACATTAGTTCCCTCTTTCCAGAAGCAGTTCCCATTGGTCAAGAGCTGCTGTTTCAGATAATGCGGAACTTGAAGTCCAGGTCAGTTGATTATAGCTGACTCATTTCATCAGATATTGTCAGCTGCGGCTGCGGGATCTCTCATTGAGAATATCTTCAATCTCTCACTCAAGCTTATTATCTTCTCCTATGATGCCTGGCGGCTGTCAGTCAGAAGTCAGCTGAGAAGGAAACAGATCAGTGACAGTGCAGCAGAGCAAGCTTGTGTGGAATACATCATGAATTTCTGGTGATGTGTCAAGACAGTAGTTGTGACTATCTAGGACTTCTATCACTTTATACCTGGTGTGATGGTAGTCTAGTGTATGAGATGAATGTGTGGTTCATATGTTCTTGAGGTTCAATCACACAAGGTCTTCTATCTTATACTGCTCTGTGGAATCTTGTCAGATGTTGGTTTGATCTTCTTGATCTTGTTTCACAGTTGTCATGAAGGCCTCTGCTCAGTCACAGATGTCTTAGAGCTTCATTACTATATTATCAGTGATCTGGATTGAACTGCAGGGGTTCAGTGTGCACTGTGTAGTCTCTAGAAGGTTTAACACTTTCATGTGATACCTGTGTATAAGAAAGAACAGGCTTACACCTGTTGAAACAGCATCTTGACTGTTGATAGCAACCTCTGCATGTAGGAGGAGGTCATATCAATCATCTTGTAAGTGATTGTAGAACTTATGAAGATAATTCTTTACAGTCTGAATTGTCTGTTCTGATGCATCATCAGTCTCAGAGTGATAGACAGTTGACAGACAGTGTATAATCTTGAGAACTTAACAGATTCTTGTTCAGAGAGTGCTCATGAATTAATGATCTCAATCTGATACTATCAATCTCAGCAATTCATGCATCTGATAGAATGAACTCTGTAAGAAGGCTTCAGTGACTTGTTCAGTGTTCATCTTATTGCAAGATTCTAATATTACATTCTTACTTAGTCAGTTAATGATGACCAGAATGTTTCTGCAGCTCTTGCTCTCAGATAGGTCAACAGTGAAGTCAATTACTACATCTTATCAGATTCTATCAGAGATATTGAGTGATTTCAGTAGACCTTTTCTACAGTTCTTTTATAAGATAACAGAAGAACAGTGATTGCAGTTTCAGATGAAGCATCTGATACTGTTTAATATCTCAGGTCAGTAGAATTCTCAGGAGATTATTCTATACAGTTATTCACAGTCTGAATGATCAGTCATACATGAATCATGTATCTCTTGCATTATCTGAGTGTATAAGGGTTCAGAGTGAGAGACTCAGCATCATTCACAGAATCATAGAGTATTATTGTCATTAATTGAGCATTCTGAGATATCAGTTCTGATACATAGTTCTGGAGGAAATCAGAGTGTTTCTTGATATACTGCTTCAGTGAGAATCTGAAGGAGTTCATCAGTCTGAGCTGTCATATGCCATAGTTTATTCAGTGTAGAGAAAGTGAAGATATTGATGTCAGTTCTAATCAGAGAAGCATGTATAATACTGTGAGCTGTTCTATCTTGATCAATTAATATCTTCAGGTTCAAGAGCCAGTGCTCTCAGTTCATTCAGTGAGTATCTGTTATATCAGATAGCATATCTTGCTCTTGTCATGAGAGAGCATCTGTCATTGAGTTCTGACTGCCAGAACAGTAGTGTATTATAAAATGAAAGCAGCTTAGAAACTCAGATCATCACATCTGTCATTCAGTAAGTTTATAGATAGTTGTGAAGTATTTGAGGTTCTTATGATCTGTGACTATCTCAAATTTGAAGACACTTCAGAGTTCAGAGTCTCATTCTTCTAAACAGTATACAATTATAAGAAGTTCCTTGTCATAGATCTCATAATTGCATTCAGCAGGACTCAGTTTCTTAGATATGAAGACACATGATTGTAGAACACCTTTATCATCATATTGCAATATCACTTCTTCTGTCATGTAGTCAGAGAAATCAGCTTCAATAACTGTCTTGTGATCAGGATCAAATGTTATCAGCAGAGAAGTATTAATGAACATCTTCTTTATCTGTGTAAATGCAGCTTCAGTGTTCACTGATCATTGAAATACTGAGTCTTTCTTAGTGAGATCTGTAAGTGATCTCATGATATCTGAGAAGTTTTATATAAATCACTGATAGAAGTTAGTAAATTCAATGAAGCTTCATATATCTTTCACAGTACACAGAGCTTCTCATTCAAGAATGGTGGAGACTTTCTCAGGATTTATTCAAATTCCCTTGCCAGCTTCTATAATAAAACCCAGATACTTGATACTCTTGACTTCAAAATCACACTTGTCAATATCTATCAGTAGTTCTGCTTCTCATAGCTGTTGTAATACCTTTTACACATATTCTTGATATTCTTTTCTAAATTCATCAATAAAGATGAGGATGTCATCTAGATAAGCAGATGCAAACTCATCAAGGAAATCTCAGAACATTCAGTTAATATACTTCTGAAATATACTGAGAACATTAGCCAGTTCAAAGAATGTGACTATTCATTCAAAGAGGTCATAATATGTTCAGAATACTGTAAGCCATTCATCTTCTTCAGTAATATGAATCTTATGAAACACAGTGACAACATCTAGTTTTATAAATTATTGAGCTCATCTGATCTGTGCTAGGGTTTCATTGATGAGAGATAAGAGATATCAATCTTTCTTTGTCAATCTGTTCAGATCTCAGTAGTTCACACAGAATCAGAGTCCTTCATCTGATTTCTTTGTAAAGAGAATAGAGGCTGTGATGGAAGAGTTACTAACACATATGAATTCTTTATTCAACAGATCATTGAGTGTCTTTCAAAGAAGAAGAAGTTCATCTCAGAACATGCTATAAAGAGAGTCTCATGACAGTTCAGAGTTCTTATCATTCTTTTTCTCTAACTTGATACTGTGATCCACTTCAGAACCTCATAAGAGAGGTATATTCATAATATTATCTTATCAGAAGACATCTAGATATTTGTGATATTATTGAGAGAGTTTTGTACAAGAATCTGTTGTTGTAACACAGGATAACTTTTCTAGAGCCTTCTTGATATTAGCCAGACTGACAGAATAGATTAACACATGATCTTGCTGTCAGTAACTCTGTCAGTGGTTTTGATGATGACTTCTTTTTCAGAGTATTTCATATGCATTGACAGAGATCTGTGTCAGGTCCATGATCTTGTGAATGTCATTTTTGTGAACTCTATCATTATTAGAGAATATCAAGCTTCTGTTTCAAGCATTCAATAAGATGCCTTGTTCAGATAGTCAGACAAGTTCTAATATAAGATTATAATCAAGATTATCAACTTTATACATGTAGACATCTTCATATTGATGTTCTTCTACATCTATAGTCAGCTTCACCATGTAACAGGTACAAATGTCTTTTGAACCATCAAATCCTGTGAGG